GTTTTCACTGAAAAATCTGATAGTCTTATGGGGCTTCCCTTGTATGTAACAAGTTTTTTTTTCTCTTGCTGCTTTTAAGATTTTTTTTTGTCTTTAACTTTTGACAGTTCAGTTATAATATGTTTTGGTGTGGGTCTCTTTGAGTTCATCTTTTTTGGAACTCTATGGTCTTCTTGGATCTGGATGTCTATTTCCCTTTCCAAGTTAGGGAAGTTTTCAGCCCTTAGTTCTTGAAGTAAATTTTCTGACTCCTTTTTTTCCCCCTGAGACGCCTATACTGCAGATGTTGATCAGCTTGATGTTGTTTCATGAGTCCCATAAGCTATCTTCACTCTTCATTTTTCTTTTTGCTGCCATAATTGAACATGTTCCAGTGCTCTAGCCTCAAGTTCACTGATCCTTTTTTCTTCATCTACTCTTTTTCCCCATCATCTTCTCCAATTTTTTTTCTCTAGTCTGCTGTTGAGCCTCTCTATTATATTTTTCAGCTCAGTTACTGTATTCTTCAGCTCTGTGACTTCTCTTTGCTGTACTGACTTATATTTTCTTTCTCTTTATGGAAGTTTACACTTTTTTCATTCATTCTTTTCCTGAGCTTGGTGAGCATCTTTATGAATGTTATTTTGAACTCTTAATAGGTAAGTGACTTAATTCCGTTACATTAAGGTCTTTTTTCTGATGTTTTATCTTGTTCTTTCCTTTAGAATGTATTTCTGTGTTTCTTCATTTTCCTTGACACTCCTGGTTTTTATGCTTTGGATAAAATAGCCACCTCTCCCAGTCTTGAAGGAGTAGCCTTGTGTAGGAGATGAATTTTATTGTCCAACCCAGTCTTAGCTCAAACCTTTGTTATTGTCCAAGCAGCCTACTTCATCCTTAGTGGCTTCTGGTAGTTGAGGCTGTGCCAAGACCTGTCATTATGCTAACTGGAGAAACTCAGTCAGCACCTAGATTCAGGCTGTTTAAAAGCCATATTCTTCGCAACATTTAAAGTATGCAGATATATCTCTTTTGGGGGAAGACTGGGACTAGAGCATATCTGCTGCTTCTGAGCTAAATCCTGGGGTTATAGCCAGTTAAGAGCTGTTTCTTTGTTTGCCACCATTCTGTTGAGCCCATGAACACAAACCCTGTTGGCCAGTAGGGCCAGGTTGTCAAGGGATATGCTCTCTGGAAAGAAGCTGGGAAAGCAGGGGTACCAGATGTAGATACAAGCTCCTTTCTTGAAAATAACTGGTGAACTGAGGTAGGGCAGAGGGAGAGCTTGAAGATGTGCATTGGTGGCCTTTCTGGTCTTTGGAGGGGATTGTAGTCAGCCTCTGGAAGTGTCTTTAATTACAAGCCTCCCCTCAGGGCACAGCTATGAAGACAAGGTAATTGTCCCTTTCACAGAGAGACTGGCAATGCTTTTCAGTGTGCTCTCTTTTGTGTCTTGGCTGGGGAGTCTTAGGGGTTATATATTGGGAATAGCTGGTTAAGAACTGTTTCTCACTAGTCTTATGGGACTCATGAACATAAATCCTCTGGCCCCAGAGCCAGGCTGTCAAGGGATGTCGGCTGGGCAGCATGCACAAACCAGGGCCTCAGACATGTGCACAGGCTCCTCTTGGGGAGATGCCAGCAACCCGGAGTGAGGCTGAGGGAGAGTGTCAAGATAGTGGCTGGCTTTGGAGGTCTCTGGAGAGGATTAAAGTTGGCCCTTAGATGTGTGTTTCATTAGAAGCCTGCCGCTCAGGCTACATCTATAAGGATAAGCAAATAGTCCTCTCTCCCAGGAGGATTGTGTTTCATTCTGCCCCTGCTCCGCTCTTGGGCTGTAGGTGGTTAAGAACTATGTTCTCTTACAGTCACTGTTACAGGGATCTGCCTCCACTAGCCACCATAGCCAGGCAATCAAGAGGTATCTCCTGGGCGGCAGCTGCAAAAACCAGGGTGCCAGACATTTGTACAAGCTTCTTTCTGGAGATACTAGTGACCCGGAGCGAGGCAGAGGGTGAGCGTAGAGATGGTTGGTACTCACCAGCCTTAGTCTTTGGATTATTTCAGTATACCCCTGGATGTTTATTAAATTAGGTGTCTACCACTCAGGCTGATGCTTTAAGATAAGCAAATAGGCTCTTTTCATGAAAAACTGGTCCCTAGGGTGGGTGACCCTGTTGGAGCCTTTTAAGGACTATTTGTCAGATTGTTATAGCCTTGTGGTCTTGTGGCTGTAGGCCCCACTAGCTTGTGAAGCTAGATATTCTTGGGGCTTGTCTCTCGGGTACGGGTCTTAAAAGTTGGGGGTACTAATAAAATCTTAAAAAAAAAAAAGTTGGTGTACTCATGTGGGGTTCAAATCCTTTGATCCTGAGGCTGAAGTCTGGGATTTTGAGTTCCCTCTTGATTGTAGGTTACTGCGCCAGGGGTGGCATTTAGGGCAAGATTGTGTTACAACCTCTTACATGTGTTTGATGTGGGTTGTCTCATTTGCCTAATGTGTAGCAGTCAGTCGGTTAGTTTTGAGGTTTCTTTTAGAAGAAATTGTTATGTATGTTGTTGATTTGGTGTGTCTGTGGGAGGAGGTGTGTTCAGGATCCTGTCATCCATCTTGAACTAGAACCCTATTTAATTTCATAGATGTCAAGAGAGGGCATATGGTTTGGGGTCACAGTATACTTTCCCCATAGGGCATCACAGGAACCAACATTATTTACATGCATATAGGCAGAATTCTAAGATGGCTCCCAGTATTCCCACCTCCTGGTGTACACACACCTTCTCTCAGTTATCCAATCAAACACAAATTTAGGTGTTGCTTTGGAGAGATTTTAATTATATTAAAAAAAAAATCAGGTCATTTTAAGAAAGAGGGGTATTCACTTGGGCTTGACCTAATCATGTGATCCCTTAGAAGGGGCTGGGCCTCTGACAAGATCAAGGCATGAGAAGGATCCATTCTGAGGGAGATTCTCTTTGCTGAGGGATTCTCTTTGCTGAGAGTCTCTTTGCTGGTCTTGAAGATGGAGGGGATGACATGGCAAGGAATGCAGATGGCCCATAGGAGCTGAGAGTGCCCCCTAGCCAACAGATTACATTGAGGCCTCTAGCCTACAACTGCAGGGAGATAAATTTTGTCACAACTCCTTGAACTTGGAAGAGCTCCAGATGAGAATGTAGTCCAATGGATGTGCTGATGTTAGCCTTAGTAAGACTCAGAGTGCAGAACCCAGCCCTTCTGACCTATAGACCTGTGAGCTAATAAATGTTATTTTAAGCTTCTAAGTTTATACTAATTTATGACATAAGCAACAGAAAACTAAAACAATGGAGTATTTTGCGTCACAAAATTGCAGCTATTATTTGTTAAATATTTATTGATGTTAAATCCACATTACACCAGCACAACAATCCAAATAGTAGTATGATAGTACTTTTTTATAAATACAACATAAAAGGTGGCAAATAATGCTACTCAATCCCAAACCCAGCAAATTAGCAAACAGTCACATTCAGAAAAATTTGGCAAGTAAGATAGGATGTTAAGTCATAATTCTACGATATAGCTAGGTCCATGAAAGACTTTGTATGGTATCTTAAATTCCATATTAGCAACGCATACGAGTGTGGTCAAAGAAACTTGCACTACTCTGCAAAGAACATCTGCCACCCAGTGATCAAGCCTATTAGTCATTTAAAACTTGGTTGGTTGGTGTTCTTACAAAGTAGTAGAAAGCTGTACATGTGAAGCAGTAATATGAAATATATGGGGTGGTACACAGATATAAAATTATTTTAAAAAATACTATATATTGAATTAACTGAGCTAAGACAGTTCAACATTTTTATTATAAATAATGAAAGATATATGTGTTTTGCATAAGGAATACAGTGTTTTCTTTTCATAGCAAAGTACCATTAAAACCTCATGTTTTATAATATAATATCTGGCCAAATTAGTTTTTTTCCTCCTTTTTAAAGTTTATTGGTTCCGACTTAAAACCATCAAGTCTGGTCAGAATCCTGTCAGTCTAGCTGTTGCAGGAGCATATGCATTCAAAAATCAGTCTTTGCAGAGATGCCTTTACAAACTACCCGGAACCTAGCACCTTCTTAAGGCAAGGTTGCATGGCAGCATGGAAGTGAACTCATATTTTCCATTCACCATATCATGGTGCCATTGGAAAAAAATTGATTGTGGCACAAACCTCTTTTTGTCTTTCCCAAGTCTCCATTTTCCTCCAGTAGACTAGCTCTTACAGGCAGTTTCCTTACTGATGCCAATCTTGCAGTCTCGGTCCATTTTCCACTTGCTCAACACACCTAACCTCTTCAGCGACTACACAGACTTCAGACACTGAAACTTCCACAGCACATGGGCTCCAATCTCCCAGCTGACCCTAGATCCCCTGACATTTGAATGGCAGTGTTTTTTTACTTATACTTTAGGTAAAAGTATTTATCTAAAGTATTTACCTAAAGGAAAAAAATATTTTTATTTTTTTGAAAACCAAAGAAAATCCTGGCCTTCACCATGTCTCCTGCCTCTTCTACTTTTTTTTAAATGAGTACAAGTGTGCTGGCAGCATTTTCCTTCATTCTTCCTACTCCTTCCAGACCCCTCTTTCCGCTGAATACTATACGCCTTGGTCATTTGGGTGATTTGGATGTCTTTTGTGGAATGGACTGTAATACAGTTCTGCTTTATTTGGAATACTTTGTATTATTTATAATTAAGTTAGCCTTTTAATATGGATTGTAAGTAAGCTTCCTACCAAGGTAGCATGAAAAGAAAATACTACACATAAAGAAAAAGGTGGTTAAGAACTAAGGTATTAACCTTGTTAGAAAGCTCTCGATATTAATAAAATTTAAGGCCAGTAATTCCTTCCTTATGATTTAATATAAAACAATTTTGCAAAAACAAGGCATTTACTTGGATTTGTCATTTCCTCTTCCTTTCATCCCTATATATTGCACTTGGTTCACTGTAGCTGTCTGAACACACTGCCCACTTAGAAACATTTTAGTATTATTTGTGGTACATTTGCCTCCTGTTAAGCATTCCACACTGTCATGCTGTGTAGCACCTACAGCTAGTGTTTAAGGCACTATGGAGAATACAAATTCTGGTTACCTCTGAACAGCTGATTTCCATTAGCATTTTGGCATTTCAGATCGCTTTCATCACAGAGATTCCACAAGTTTTAAGTTGGATGATGAATGAAGATTTTCTGTGCAATGTGTACATTTCTATGAGCATCACCTACTGAAACTCTAAGTTTGGTATATCAAGTAGGAAAAGTATTATTTTGGTGTTTATTTCTTATAGTCAAAGGTATGTTTTGCCCTTTACATAATGTGACAAAGGAATATGTTGGTCAAGGCAATGGTGGCTGTTTCAGTGTTTCAGCGTTAAAAAGAATGTTGGATTACAGGTCCTCACTTTCTACCAAGCCGGTATTCAGCGTCAGGTGAGATGGGCTGGCTTCGGGTTGGAACGCTGCTTTGATGTCTAGTCCCTGGTCTGAAAGTGCTGCATAGCGACTGGCTGAGGGCCGTACTTTTTTTGGCTTGGTGCTCTGTGGCTGCTGATGCCACTGGGCTACAATAGAAAAGGGGAAAAAAAAAAAAAAAGATTAAAAAAAAACCTCAAGATGTCCTGGAAAGCACTTAAATGTTTCAAGTAAATACAGAATGTCTTTTCGTATATACCAGGCACATGTTCTTTAGCATGGTAGAAATCCTAAAATGTAAGCACAGTTTTGCAAATTTTCCTCATATATTGCAGATTTACTTTCTGTCCAGGGTAGTGGGACTGTAACAGCTAGGTAGTAAAGAAGTGTAGTTTCTTTTAAAGTTAATACTTACTGCAGCACAGGAAGTCATTCAAAAACAGTCGCTCAGCTTCCTAATTCTCACCTCTCCCCCTCTTTAAAAAACATCTTCAAAGCACAAAATGCACAAATGTCATAATAATTACAGTAGTTAGGTACTCAGGATGGATGGTTCAGCACTAGTCAGTTGGAAAGAAGTGGGCAGAAGGGAAGGTTGAGGTCACTCAATACTTGAAGAACCTCACAAAATTATTTCCTATTCAACAAGAGGTAAAATTTGCTATCAGTTCTTAATTTTTTTCTAGTGGTTTTCTTTATGTCAATAGATCACATAATGCTACTGTACTAGTCTGTGAATTCAGAAATAAGTTTCTTTAAAATGCATGTACACAAATATACATACACAAACACTCACAAAACTACTGCTGAGCTGCTTAAGGTATATTAAAGAGAAAAGTGCTAAGCCACAGAAAGGATGCATTCCGGGATCAATGGTACACACATTTAGAGTGCAGTAAGACGCTGTGGTAGGATATAACAAGAAATGTTAAAAGGCAGTCATTTGCAGAACACAGTAACAAGAAAATGTGAAAAACGTGGTTATGCCTTCGCCTACTGTTAACTCCTACGAATGCTTGCGTAAGGAAGCCACAACTGACTAGCCAACGTAAGAGAAATCAACATGCATATTTTGCTAATAATGCAAAGTTCCTGAATGATACTTGGGTATTTGTTCTCCTGGTGTAGTTCACTATTAATGTTGAGAAACTATAAATAGAAAGAGAAAGAGCAATATGAAATTTTGGGCAAATAAAACTCCGCAGTTGTTTATAAGCTTATATAAAAGTAGTATGATTGGCTGTCCAGATGTCTGCTTTTTCATGATTTAATGAGTAACTGCAGTGAGAGGAGATGAAGTGGCACTCACTGTAAACATCCAGCCTGGCGGTACAGGACACAATCCCGGCTTCATTCTTGGCTGATACCGTGTACCACCCAGCGTCTTCTTTTGTAGCTCCCTGAATGAGCAGGCAGATGTAGCCATGATTATCCTGGTGCATGCTGGAGAAATGGATAAAGTCATTAGGGTTCTAAATTTTTAAAAAGTGGCTTTGGACATGAAGCATCATTTTTAATTAGATCATTAGAAACAGAATTGGGCACGTAGCAGATAATAGGGTCATCCTTATTCTGGAAAGGCTGCTAGCCCATTAAAGTTAATGGGAGAGAAGAGCAGACATCAAGAGGTTGAATAAATGTGCGCACTTAATTTCTAGTGGAGGATCAGCCTTTACAAAACCCACTGAATAGTTTCTGTATCACCACGGACACAAATGAATTCATTTTTTCTTCTAGGTGTAAACACTCAAAGAAATCCCCCTGAGATTTAAGTTAGAATGTTTATCACATACAATGAGAGCTTCCTTCCAGAAGCTTAATTATACATGAGGGTAAAGAGTGATTTTTGTCTTTGATACCATCAATAGCGTGACTCTCACAGAGATTTATGTGCTACATAAAGTGCATCTCTTTATGTTTCCTCAGGACCTATTGAACAGATGTGGATTAAGTCATTGTGTATTCTCACCTCACTCGGTCAGTGCTGTGAGTGAGTGATTCATTTTCTTTCTTCCAAAATATCTGAGGCGGTGGCACTCCTAAGACACGGCATTCCAGTCGCACTGGGTATCCATCAGCAACTCCTGTGTTTTGCAGCTTCTCGATAAACACAGGGGGTTTGTGTGCTTCTTTAGCTAAGGAAACGGGAGATGAATTATCGATCAGTGGTACACAAATGTAGCCCTATAAAGAATTCAGAAGCTTTCAGAAACATTGTTTAAATGTATCTTTTATTTTATGATACCATTTTTCACTTCAGGCGGTAAGATGCTAGTCCTTTCTCCAAATTCCTTTCACCAAGAAAGGTTCCTGTGCTTCATTCCACTCATTTATTTCATCAATTAATTCAAGTCTGACAGGCCCACACAGTCCACTGGCCATCTGCTCCACAGAATGCCTGACAGGCTTCGTGACACTCCTAAGTCATTGCTAGCATCTGGGATGGCTTCATTCCTAATGATGTCACCGAGCACTCAAAACCTTTACCAACCACTGCCATCTAGTGACTCTGAGGAGAACAAGTATTTCTAAGAATTTGATCCACTCGGATTCCCTCCTTGTGATCAGAAATGTTTGCTATGGAGATCCTGAAGATTTGTAAGTCTTGGCTTACGTGAGACATACTATAGGGTTAAAGGAGGAAAAGAGTGGGGAGACATCTTTATCTAAATTTGACAGCTTTCAATTGTTACTTATAAACTAGGAATGTACATCCTATAAATTACGAATTCCAATTTGTATTCTTTGAAGGAAGCTATAAAAAGATGACTTTTTATTACCCTGAAGGAAGGAAGCCATAAAAGACAACTTTATTACTCAGTCTGAAAAAAAATCAGAACTTTTTGTTAATAACCCTCTGAATGTTACTATCTGATGGGAAACTGTTTCCATACATCTGTGGTGGAAACAATTTCAGAGAAAGAATAAAGTTTAATTACTTTCTCCTGAGCTATCAATAATGCATTTGAGGATGTCTTTATCCATCACCTCTCCTTTGGAGTGTCAAATATATCAAAGCAAAACAACCAGGGGAGAAACAGGTGAAGAGGATAAAAACTACACCTGAAAATTTCAGATACCTAAGACTCTCTATGAGTTTGCATGAGGTAGAGGATTACACTTTTATTGTATTTCACATGGTTTCCTGACCCAGCCTATTTTGGAGGAAGTGGGAACAGACCTCAATATTCTTTCTGGGTCCCAGTTTTGAGGAGAGCATAAAGGGTATAAAGTGAACCTTAATGTCAAAGCAATCTCCAGTTGAATCACACTCACCATTTTGGAGCACTGCTGTGCTGGTGATGATGCAGAGCTTCCTACAATTTAAACCTTACAAAATGACACAGTCCTTACAAACATTCTGTGACACCTTATGGCCCCTATCTTACATATGGGGGAACCGAGCTGCAGAGATGTTCTCTATTTTCCAAAAGACATAGCTAATACAGGAGAGCTGGGCTTGGAACTGAGAGTTGATGCCAAAGACGTGAGGCTTCTAATTACTGTGCGCTCTGCCCCCTTTCCAGTGTAAGTGCTGACTGAGCACAGACCAAGATGCCTGTGTCTCTCAGACCTTCATGTCTCAGTCCTGAAGGGGAGATAGGATAGAAGGGAACAGTCGACAGCAGAATGCTGAACAGTTTTAGCTGGAAGAGGGATGTTTAGTGGGTTGGATGAAATTGATCCTAGTTGTGTAGGAATATCGAATACCTGATGTAAAATTTGAAAGCATGGTTAACACAACACAACAGCCTGGGTGTTTGAGAGTTATGTGTAAAAATGTCCTGGTACTTTTATTAGAATCGTTATCTAGGATTTTAGCCAGGACCTCCTGAGCTTTATTCTCATGGCTACTCTATTTCCTGATAGAGCAGTGGCTCACTGTGGGGAGGAGTACTGGGAGTCAACAGACTATGTGAATCTGGCCTCTGGCCCTCACTTTACAGAATAGGGCCCAGGGAAAGTCACTTACTCTAGCTTCCACACCTGTAAAATGAGGGAAATTTCTTCCAATTATCTTGGAGGGCTTTTGTGAGGACCAGCTGAGATAATATAAATGAAGTACTCTGCAAACAGAGGTATAAGTAATAAACATTCTTTTTGAGAACAGTTAACAGACTCTTACTTATGCTCAGCTTCTAAGGGTGTTATAAACCTTCCTTATCTAAGGGTAAGATTTTATACATTACATATAATTTTACAAAATTTACCTAAAATTATAATTCATTAAAAAGCAAATCTGAATTTGACTATGACACTTGGGGTAGATGATAACATTTCAAATTTCTAAATTTTGACACCACTGCACATTACTTTTAAAAGTAGGCAGAACTTTATGCATGAGCAAATCATTAATTTTTTTAAGATTTATTTATTTATTGACAGAGATCACAAGTAGGCAGAGAGGCAGGCAGAGAGAGCGAGGAGGAAGCAGGCTCCACTGAGTAGGGAGCGTGATGCTGGGCTCAATCCCAGGACCCTGGAATCATGACCTGAGCCGAAGACAGAGGCCTTAACCCGCTGAGCCATCCATCCGCCCCATGAGCAAATTCTTATATGTATCAAGTTTGGTTCTGGAATCCATGATACCATTGCTCTTTCTCTATGTAACTTAGGAGGCCAACACACATGAGAATAGAATGACTCAGAACAGCTGCTAAACTCCTCTCTCGGCCAGGCTAATGGAAGATAGGAAAAATAATGATGGCTACACTGAAAAAAAAACCCTAATGTTTCTGATTTGCTAATAAGCCTTATGTCCTAATTGGCTGTTTTGTTGATACAATCTGTTTTTTCAGCAGTTTGATTTATTTTCCATATTGGTTAATAATGTAGGATTAATTTACATTTTTGAATCTGATAATTCATTCTGAGAGAAAAAAATTCACAGACTTGCTTACCAGCAACCACAAGCTCCAGGCTGAATGAGTTTTGTCCTGCTCGATTGGTGGCGATACACGTGTAAATGCCGGCATCTCGTGAGGTCACTGGCTCTATGATCAGGGAGTGCACCCCATTCTCACGCACGAGCATCTTGTGAGCACTGTCGGGGCGTATAGGTTTTCCATCTAGTTGCCAGCTTAGATCTGGGGTTGGTAACCCACTGACCTAAACCAGAAAGGAACATACAAATTTCTGTAATACTGAAACAAAATGGAATCACTAATAGCTAAGAAACCACCATAAATTCTTTCTTTGGTAGTACAAGAGATGGCTTTTAGTGTCAGCTTATGTTGTTCTTTTGCTTAAACCTTTCAATGGCTTCTTAAGCAATCATGGCGTTACTTCTAAATATCCCTTGTAGAGCAACCCAGAGAAAAGTAAAATGCGGATTTTAAAGATTTCTGTTCTTGTCTTACCTCACCCAGGGTCATAAAGATTCCAGGGATGATGTCAGCACAGGGCTCTGAGCTCTCTGGGAAAAGGTGTCCAACCACAATAACAACGCTTACTCAACTGGCATGTGTACGCTATAAAGCTTGTTATCAGAGGGTTGCCATAGCTATGGAGACATCAGTTAATGCATCCATAAGCACACAGAGCTATTATTACTATTTTATAATCCTTGAAACTAAGCAACAAGAGCAATATGAAATTACCCAGAAAGCCATCTCAACAAATTAGCATCACAATGGAAACATAAAATCCTGAGGCCACGACAGTTGTGTTGACCAGAGATCAGATTAAAAAGCACATTTAATTGCTAATAACACATTGTGCTGTGAAGGGTAGGGATGGTTACCATCTGTCAGCTCTTTATAGTTTTGCCCTTGATTGTGAAAGGGAAGAAAAACACCATTAAGGAAAGCTTTTTTTTTCCCCGTCATCCCAAATTTACTAGTAGGAAATCTCATACAAAAAGATGTCAGTTGGACTGTAATTCTTTGGAAAACCCAGCTCTGCCAAATTCCATTCTTGTGTGATACTCATTTATATTACCTACAAGATGCCTCTCTCCGTACATGTAACAAAGGTCTTGAGAATTTAAGGGAGAAAAAAATTAAGTAAAATTACTGGTTAAAAGGATGAAGACATGTTGGAAACAAAGACAGCAGTAGTTAGCTTGGCTATTGACAAGGTCAGCCTCTCTGTCCTCCCCTCTGTGTACGGGCTCTCCCCCAGCTCTCCAAGTTCACTGCTTCACCTGTTTGGAGATCACTAGAGGTGGTAAGGAGGAAGAGGGAATGCACACCTCTCTCTGGTCAGGCTCTAGGCCTTTCCCAGGTTTAGAAATGAAATGGCACTGTTTGTTCCCACCTTGCTAGATTAGATCCTGGCCAAAGCCAAGGTGTGTGCAGGAGGAGAATTGCTCAAGGCGCTGTGCACTCAGCCCACCTAATTCACAGTGCACATATGCCAGTGGACAGACTTAATCACAATCAAGCAAAGGGAAAAGGCCGGGTTTTTCTACCCTGATTCGAATTCCAGCCCTTCTGATTGTGTAAAGAAAGCAAGCCTGGTTTCAGGAATCTAAGGTCATTGTAAGCAGGTCATACCTTGAACAGAAGCATGCTCTCAGCTGATATGGAATTGGGAGGAGGCAGATGAGCAGATTTGTTACTATTGAAGTTGGATTAGTTATTTTTGCTTAGCACTTAGTACCAAGTCAAGGGTAGTCAGCATCTAGGAATGTACCTAACAGGTTAAAAGGCAGGGGAGTGCTTTTTTGGGGGGAAATCTATCTGTTGCTTTAGTGAAAGTCTTATTTTCATGATTTTTTTTTCTTCTTAAAGCTTATACTGACAATTTTTTTCTAAAAAATGTAATTTTTTAAAAAAGATTTATTTATTTGACAGAGATCACAAGTAGGCAGAAAGAGAGAGAGAGAGAGGAGGAAGCAGGCTCCCTGTAAAGCAGAGAGCCCGATGTGGGGCTCAATCCAGGACCCTGGGATCATCACCTGAGCCGAAAATACAGGCTTTAACCCACTGAGCAACCCAGGTGCCCCTAAAAAAATGTAATTTTTAAGATGCTTTTTGTACACAGCATAATATCCCTTGGTATCATCTAATAATTAAAATAAAATTTCCCCTGTTGACTCAATGTTATTTTATAGGTGGTTTGTATGGATTCTTAATTATAGACCAAAAATAAATACACATATGCTGAAACTCAATTTTTGTGCTTATACTATAAAAAGAATTATGTTGGAAAATAAAATACTTTTGTTAAGAGTACTTTTTTTTTTTTTTTAAGATTTTATTTATTAGCGCACAAGCAAGGGGAATGGCAGGCAGAGGAGGAGAGAGAAGTAGGCTCGCCGCTGAGTAAGCAGAATGACCCCGGGCTCTATTCCAGTACCCTGGGATCATGACCCAAGCCAAAGGCAGACACTTAACCAATTGAGCCACCCAGGTGCCCCAAGAGTACTGTTTTTAAAATATAAATTTCTGTAAGCCCAGATTTAATCCTCCAAGCATCATATATTTGTGTTCTGCAATCCCAGAGAAAACCAGCAGAGGGAGCCCAAATTTTAAAAACCTTATCCATATTTAAGAACTAAAATTTAGGATCACTAGATAATGGGGCAAAAAAACCAAAACAAAAAAAATTCACAGCAGTGGTTATTTTTTTTTTTTAATTTATTTATTTGACAGAGATCACAAGTAGACAGAGAGGCAGGCAGAGAGAGAGGAGGGAAGCAGTCCCCCGCTGAGCAGAGAGCCCGATGTGGGGCTCGATCCCAGAACCCTGGGATCATGACCTGAGCCGAAGGAAGAGGGTTTAACCCACTGAGCCACCCAGGTGCCCCCACAGCAGTGGTTATTTAACATTTACGGTCTTGAGCTCCTTTGAGAAACTGATGAAAGCTATATCATACACGTAATTTTGTATGCAGTTGCAGAACTCAACACCTAGTGAAACCTGCCTACCCAAAGGCTCTGGGTTAAGCAGCCCTGCTCTGAAATGGGAAAGAGAGGATGTCTCTCTAACTGCTCTTTGAAATGGGAGGAATAAGAGAGTAGATATATGGCTACAAAATTTATTTGAAAAAATTACGAAAATAAATGAATTAATTATTAGGACATGACAGATTTGACACTTTTATCACTTCATCAAAATGGTAAACTTAAAGGGGAAAAAAACCTCTCAGTGACTGTGTACGGTATGGTATGTGCAGTTCTAAATAAGGAATACATTTAATAAAAATTTCAATGTAAAGGAAAAGAATGACAAAACAGTATATAAACATCCAGTATATGTCACTCCTTTTTTTTTTTTTTTCCTTGTAGGCTAGAAACATTTTATTTTTTATTTTTTTATTTTTTTAAAGATTTTATTTATTTATCTGACAGAGATCACAGGTAGGCAGAGAGGCAGGCTCCCCGCTGAGCAGAGAGCCCGACTCGGGCCTTGATCCCAGGACCCTGGGATCATGACCCAAGCCGAAGGCAGAGGCTTTAACCCACTGAGCCACCCAGGTGCCCCTGGAAACATTTTAAAGATGTACACCTTACATAATTTCCTTAAAAGGAACTCAGGAGAAATTACAGTAAGGGGGGAAAGAGAGACAAGAGATTTGCAGGCATTAACACACTCTTACCTTACAATCCATTCTGCAGAGCTTTCCTTCTTGAACTGTTAGATCTCCAGGAGCCTGCAAGAAGTGAGGTCTGAAGAATCGTTCTTGAATTGGTTCATTTTCATCTCCACTATCCCTTGATCTAGAACGAGGCCTTAGGACAAGACAGATAATAAACAGAAAGATGGAAGGAAAGGAAGGCACAATGGGGCAAGGGGAGAGAGGGAGATAGAAGTTATTATTATCAGGTTCTTGATATTTTTAATATTACATAGAGTAATAATACAATTTCTTTATCTGATTCCTACTCCTAAAGTTCACACATAAAGTCAGAAAAGCCAGCAAAATCTTGTTTTATTTGACAGTTTAATTATGAAATTAATAGTCTGCTATTTAGAGAACTTAAATCATTCTATCCTAATCCTTAAAGCTAATATAAATCATAAGAGATGGGAAAAAATGAAATACTCTATATTTACCTATTTTTTTCTTAAATAAGTATTTTTGAAAGCTGTATGAGAAATAGCAGCAGCTGTTGCTCATTTATTACCAAATCTTTTCCAACAAAAAGTATAATTTTCCACTGTGATTTGAAATTTTTAGGAAATTAAAATTTACTATTTTGTAAAAATTTAATCTTTCTAATCAAAATTCCTTTCATATAAACCAAGAAAACAAATTATATTTTTTATCTTTAAAATTGTGCAAATCTCCCAGATTTTGTGCATCTCTCTTGCTTTTGAATATGTTGCTAGATACACCTTTCAGAGCAACACCATTTTAAAGTAATTGCAGGGAAGATGTAAGGAAGGAACAAGATAACGAACATAAATTCTGTCACTAATCACTAGAAGAGAAGTGTAAAAACATTTAACTAGAAAAAGTCAGAGTAGAACAAATGAAAGATCAGTATAACAGGCTGATAATTACCAACTATATACCAATTATATAGGTTACTGTTCAAGTACAGATCTAATTTCTGAGCAGAATGCTTTTCTAGGAGACACTGACACATGGAAAAGCTTAAAAGTACTAAAGACACAAGAAAAGCAGAAGAAAATAATGCAAGAGAATGGATCTGCTACTAAACACGTTATGTTTATAGCCATACACACAATCCTTGGTTCTTGTGAACAAACAAGTTAGAGTATTAAGCCCCCATGTGTTTAGGTATCAGAACTGTCTTCCAAAGTGCTGAGCAAAGGGCTGTGCGTCCAGTCACGTGAGGTGTAGACAGAGCACTGGCTTGGTGCTTCCTCAGTGTTTCTGGCTGACCTTCTGTGAGCCTAAGTTAGCATCTGTGGCCTGCAGTTTACAGTCAGGGCTACTGAAACAGGCTCTGTAAAATATCTAAACAGGAGCCCAAGATGACAGACCGAGTGACTTACCATAGTTTCTTAAGTGCAAATATGTTACTAGGGAGCGATACCCTTTTCTCGTCCCTGCCTAGTATTACTCCGTCAGCATCCTTGCATAAGCTCAGGGCGATTCAGAATGGAAAGCACACACTATTGTTAGCAAGTACTTACTGAGCATTTAAAATAGGGAACTTCTTAGCTACAAAATTGTCATCTAAACTGTTTTGAACTAAGTGACTGAAAAGTGAACATTAGCAAATTAGTGGATTTTAAGAAATCTAGTGGCAGTAATTTGTCATGGCTAGACAGCTGCCGGCTGGAGAAGTTTCGTTTTGAATGTTTGTGTACCATTTACTAGTATTTTCATGTTCACGTGCCTGCCATTTAAAGGTGTTGAGCTTTGATTTCTTCATATACAAACTGGGTCCTATGTAACAAATTAGTGATAGTATATCTACCTGGGCCCAGTGACCTTACCAACCGTTTGTTCCTTTCTCTTTTCTCAATCAGAACGGAACAGAATAATCAAGGACCCAGGCAGTGTACACCTTAAGACCATATTTGCATTCTTCTGTCTTCTATGTTCACTGTTTTGTGGTCATACCATGATTCTAATAGTGTTGAATCTGTAGTAGTAACTAAAAATAGCAGTAACACCTACAGGAAGGAACGTGTCACATACCTTCTGACATGAGGATGGCCTGAGGGAGAGCGGGGACTGCGACCTCTTTGGTTGACGGCCTGTACCATTAGGCGTCCCGTACAACTGATGCGGCCCTGGCAGAGAGAGAGCAGGAAAAGACATGACTTGCCATGCAAAACAGCTAACCACTGCACACCATGTTTACTGTCCTGTTCTCTATAAGACATCAGTTCTTAACAAACCGATATGCCATATTAGTAATGACACCAATCCCTCTCAGAAATGTACTTTCCCTGAATTAAACTCATCAGTAAACTCCATATTTATTTAAAGAACTGGGTGACTAGGTCTTTCTTTGAACCATTAAAAAAACTTTCCTATTCTATCTATAATGGTTTTTAAAATGACAGTCCTTACTGAATTAGTTATAATCTGCTGCGGTCTCCCTAACACATGAAGTTGAATTATAAAACATAATTGCAATAATCCCATTATCATGGTCAAATACCTATTGGTTGTAGCTAATTCTGAAATCAAACGAGATGATTTTAGTTTTCTGACATTTTTTGTAATACATATATATTAAATATACTAACATATATTAAATGTTAGTATATTAAAGGTTAATAGTATTCCTTCTAAAAACCATATATTAAAAGAGATGCAAGCATGATGAAATGAACATTACATGAGACATACGCATGGGGACGACAAGGAGAGTAAATGACTACAGGTTACCATGTTCCAATGAAATGAGCATAGTCATGATTTAAAAACCAGAAGTAATGAGGTATCTAAAATATGTGGGTCATATGATGTGGGCCTATCTAATGAAAAGCTATATTTTATCTCTCAGGTTTTATCTCTTAAATTGAAAACTGATATAAATGCTGTCCTAGGATAGACAAAAGTAATAGTGGACTCAGATGATATGAATAAATCACCATTGTTACTCTGGCATTTTGTTTTAGCCCCTTCTTTTATTTTTTTCCCCTATTACTAGCAAAGCAGCAAAATAGATGATTTTCTCCTCTTATATCCCAGGAGGATGTGAGCAGTTGTATGTCTAAATTCTGTTGATGGCCAGAGGGAACAGCAAGAGAGGAAAACTGAGAAGCAGGTTATTAATGATTAGACTTAGGGATTTCTAGCTCACAGTAGATGAGCCACCCTCAGGTGCACTTATAGTCTAAATTTACCAATAACTTTCATTTTGCCAAGTTTCCAGTATAGACAAGTAACAGAAGCACAACTGTTCTATATATTTTGAGGAACTGCTGAGTTCCACCTGAGTGTGAACTGGGGTAAGGGAGCACGGTAGTGGAGGGGACACAGAGAAACCCCATAACAGCATTTGGTGGAGGGCAGGAATCCAGTCGGGAGGGCTGTACAGTCTCCCCCCAGCCTGGACTTCTTTGGGGCCTTAACGACTCTGAAAAGGGGCCTTAACCACTCCAAAAAGGCAAAGAAACATAGTGCTGTAACAGACAGGAGAATTGGGAACTGTCGAATAGAAAGAGGAGGTCGTAAAGAAACAAAACTGAAGTAGTCTTATCCCATTAGATATGTAACCTCCTCTAGCATTCACAGTATTTGCTACTGAGGTCATATTTAAACACTGCCTTTCTTGAAATTTCCAAGGACACACAAATTATACCGTTATGAGGGGGAATATTTCTAATTTAGATTTGTTCTATCTAAAGTTCAGGCCACATGATGTATATTCTCTCATGCTAAGCTCTTGGCAAACACTTGGAAGTCCCCCTAAGCTAGCCTGAAATCTGGAAATTAATTTCATCTAGCCTGTCTAAATGCATGCTACAAAAAATCTAGACATGACTTGCTTGGGAGACCCCTGTTAAATTACCCAACTGATGCATCATAGCAGCTGCTTTAACAAGTGAACATGTAAGATCCATGATTCTTTTGAGGGCTAAAGACAGGGGAATCTTATGTTTTGTTTCACACAAATAGCTTCAAAATTCTAGTGATATGGGATATGGCTTCTTTACTATTTGCTTTGCTACTTAAGCAAATCATTTTAATCTAGATAGATTAAATAATCTAGGTAGATTAAAATAGATTTATATAATTTGGAAGATTTTGCCTTGTGGTTTAAAACCCAGAAGATCCACGAGGGAAGTTAACATCAACTAATCATTTCTGTGGTTAGAAGAAGATGTAAGTTAAATTCAGCCTTTAACCTTGAATTTGGGGAAGCAGATAAAAAATTTTTCTCTAATCTGGACTTCAGTTTTGACTTTCCTAAGACTTTGGGGGCAAATAACCAAATTTGTTGAAGCCTTTATTTCTTCTTCTGTAAAAACCAGGGCACTGTATCTGTCTCACACAGATGTTGTAAAGTTTCAATGATACAACCTAAGATGGTCTTTATCTTCCAAATATCAAATAGATCTTGATGATATAAATAATCGCTACTCATTATGGGTATGGTTTTAATGGACATGTGTGCACAGACATGCATCAAGATAATTTTTAGGGGTCCTGACACCTTGGTTGGTGTCAGATTTACTCCAGTAAATTTCACCCAAGTGGTTAACCTTGCCTGAGTATGCTCTTACCTCCTTTTTTGATTCCTTCAAATGCCTCTTTTAATGACGGTCTCACCTGCCCCTCAGTGGTCTTAACGCTGGGATGAGTCCTAATTACCTTTGATGACCCTCCTTAGCTCTGGAGTCAGTCTAGGTTTGTAAACCAGGTCCGTCCCTTTTTTTTTTTTTTAATTTAAGATTTTATTTGTTTATTTGACAGACAGAGATCACAAGTAGACAGAGAGGCAGGCAGAGAGAGAGATTGGGAAGCAGGCTCCCTGCTGAGCAGAGATCCCGATGTGGGGCTCGATCCTAGGACTCTGGGATCATGACCTGAGCTGAAGGCAGAGGCTTTAACCCACTGAGCCACCCAGGCGCCCAGGTCTGTCCCTTTCAATGAGTGACATTAGGTAGGTAATTTAACCTCGTAAGTGAGTTTCCTTATCTATAAAATAGGATCATATAGTTAATCAATCTTGCATGGGTTCTTATGAAGATTAAATGAGTCAACAGGTGTAAAATACTTAGTCTTGTGTTTTGCACATAGTAAACATTCAAAATGTTCTTATAGCTCTGAATATCGACATAATTATAGAAACAACCAGATGGACATGAAGCATCCGTTACAATTGTTTTAAAAACAATGTTTTTTTCATATGCAGTGGGGTCTTCTTTTTCTTTCTTTCTTTCTTTCTTTTGGTATTAGGATATAATTTACTCCAAAGGAAAAATGTATGCTATTGCTTGAAAGGTGTCAGGCACACTGGTATACTCACTGTGTTCATTATGTAGTGGCTGCAGTTGACGCGCAAGAGAAAAGGTCCTACTCAACTCTAACCATTAGACTCTGCTTAGTTTAGATAAATCTGACTCCTCTTCCCTCTCCAAAAAAATACGGTCAAAGGGGTTGGCGTACTGCTCTTCAAAGATTACACATTTCTACAATGTTTTCATTTTTATTGCTGCTGCCTAGAACCACATACACAAATATTGCCACAGAATCTCTTTACCCAAATTTAAGAAAAAGGAATATGTCACTGTTTGTTACCTTTTTAACTCCTACACATTTCACTTCTGAGCATAAAAGGGAAAGGCATGATCTTCGGGAGGCAGAACTATTAGTTCGATAATACGGTGATATTGGCTAAATATACATTACTAACCAGTAAATGACCAGGAGCATTTAGAAAGCTTTCTAATAAACTAACAAGTTGTATAATTTTGACTTTTTATTCGGGGGAGGGGGAACCCCAGAATTCAGTGAAACACTTTTGAAAAGATACACACAACTTAAAGTTCAGCTTTTTAAGTCTGGACATCTTTTGACGGTCATACAAAATTTTAATCATGCTGATGTGCCAATTAATCCTAGTAATTGTTGTGACTAGGCTCTGATGCACATTAGTGCTGTTGCCTTTGCTTTTAACTTTCTCATTTCGATCTACTTTATTATTAACACGTGAAGGAAGAATGGAAGTGAATGTTTGAAGTTTGAAATGAGCCAGGAAACCTCCTAATGCTACAACAAAACACAAGCAAACCCACTTCTTAAATTTAATTCAGCTGTGTGTTACTTTTCTATTCCAAACAAATCCAGAGTTTAAAGCCATAGAACAAGTAATAAGTTTGAATTCTTAAAGTGAAGAATTATGTTTTAAACATCCAGCTTGTAAAGATTATTTATGCTTCATGCAAGGCCAATTATTTATATAATATGGAAATAACATTTATATTTCCTAGCTTATGAAATTTAACTGTGGCACACAGGTCTTTATAAAAGTTTGCCACTTGTATACATAATGCAACTTGAAGAAACATCAAGTTGCAAAACAGCCCTTCCAAACTCCAAGTGCAGCACAGAGTAACTTAGCAACACAACAAAACAAAGTAAAACATTCATGTTTAGATTTAGTTGTGTCTTCAAGATAGGATCAGAGTCTAAAACTACATTTGTGATCCTCATTTTGGCATTATGTGTGGTGGAGCACTGCATAATCACTCATTATTTCACTCAGCTATGTGACTGCTTTGGTCCCTCAGGAACTGCCCTCACAGCACACACTGAGTGTGACACACGGTGGCCAATGCATGTTTAGAGCTGTGTGTTCCATCCCAAGTCGAATTTGGATGCAGTCAGCAGTATCTAATGTGTTTCTTATTCCCAAAAGATGAACCCAGGTGGAAAAATATTCTATAAAATATTCTGCTGAACTTTGGTATTCTCTCTTTCCTTGGTTCTCACCCTTTCTCTTGGCTGCTCTCTGTAATTACTTTCCACTGCTCAGAAAAGCTCTGCCGTCTGTGTTTCATTACTGAACTCATTTTTCCACTCCAGCCTTTTCCTCTCTCCCTTGGTCATTTCACATCATGTACACTACAGTGTACCAGAAAAAATAGATGGAGTTGTCTCCCTTTCAAACCAAATACATTTAAAATGTGAAAAAAGTTTAAGGTAACCAAAGGGCATCAAGGACCAGGAACTCAAGTTTTTTTTTTTTTACTGTGTGTTATGCTTTTGGGATTAATGTATCCTAAAAAATTCAGCTTTGACTTTTATATCATGCGTCCTTAAATCATATTTTTTTAAAAAAAGATTTTATTTATGAGCATGAGAAAGAGAGAGCCACGTGGGCATGAGTGAGCATGAGTGGGGAGGGAGGGACAGAGGGACAAGCAGATTCCCCGCTGAGCAGGAAGCCAGATGCAGAGCTCCATCCCAGGACCCTGAGATCATGACCTAAGCCATCCAGGTGCCCCTCAAATCATGTTTTAATTCACAAATTACAAGAATGGCAAAATACTTTAATATCTAGTAACATAGAGTTTAAAACTGTTAAACATTTCTATTATGGTATTCCGGGAAGCCACAAATGATAACTTACATCAAGTATTAGGTTAAAAAAAAATGGTCTGTTTGTCATGGTTTAAATACCTCTTATCTTTCTAATGGGTAGTGCAGTCTGTTCCAGTTTTTAGGTGACAGCCCACAAAACCTCCATCTGGATATATACCTGCTACTGAAGATGCCAGGAGAGAGCAGGAGTTCTGTTCGTGAAACTAAAATCAACCAGGCAACATGCTGAAACTTGGAATACTAATTAATACCAAGTACCATAAATATAAAAATTCTCTCGCAGCAATTTCCATCTGAGGTCTGCATGCCCACTTTTAGGATTTCCTCAGATTCTCTTCACAAGTTTCCCCTCCAGTGCCTGCCTTTGCTCATTTAGGTAGAAAAGGAGACATGTAGTTTTACTCTCTTTAATTAGAATACTGGCTGGATCAGCTAACCTTGAGAGACAGTTGGGATTCTAGGTTTTGGCATTGCTTTGGTTTCTGTGACCTCTGACAGACCCAAAGCAGTCATATTACTGTTTGCTGAAATCACATAGGATATTCTGTGAGAAGGGCCTGGCTACCTGATATAAACTGGTCCACTTTTCATTTCTTTGTCTTCTCTTCCAAGGGTAGAGGCCAAGAATGAGAGAGGGTTAACTTTGGGACATATCCTGGGATTTGGTAAAGCAGCAGAACTCCAGGGACTGGAATGAGGGCATTGACAGCTCTCTTTTGGGCCTTCCTTGGCCCTGGGTGTGCTGGGAGCAAAGCAACTTCCCAGCTTCCTGTGTGGCTCCTGTCAGCTGTGCTTTGGGTGTGGCCTCTCTCCAGCTCACCCTCCACCCAAGCCCACAGCTGGGGCAGTTGTGGTACAGCCACGTCTGCTGCCTAACTAACTCCTTTCCCATGGGGGTGATAAGAAGGAAAAACCAGGAGGTCAGAAGACCACACACCAGCAACATGTTGGGTAGAAGCTCATCCCGAATTGACTTGCTTACTCTAACAGTAGGACTGGAATATCTAGAAATAGAACCATCCTTTACATCCTGATTCCACAGGCTTCTGCCCACTATTAGGGCTGCTGCTTTAAGATAGGGTTATTAGAGTCTCTGAATTAAATGACAATAATGAGCTTTTACGGTAAGCATATTACATGTCAGGTAAACTGAGTGCATTATTTGATTCCATATGATTATTCTCATTTCATAGAAGGGGAAAGAGGCACAGAGAGGTTAGGTGACTTGCTAAAGGTCACATGGGTGGTGAGTGGCAGAGGCAGAAATTCAACTCAGATCTGTCTGATGCCAAAGTTCATTTTCTTAACCCCTGAACTACACGTGTACACTTAGGCTTTTCATTAGCACCAGTACTGTTCTGCATTTCTGGCCTTTGTTGTGTCATTTCATTCTTTTTCTTTCTTTCCCTTCCCTATCTTCTGTTTTCCAAAACAAGAACTTCAGCAGCTCTTCTTCATCTAATGACTTCATCATACATAACCTGTCAATAGTTTCAACGCTCAGGGGCTGGCATGCAGTCGCCAACTCAGCTCATGGCCAGTGGAGTCCCTCCCTGTTTAGAACTTTTCCACATGTAAAACTACATTAGTATAATTTGAAGAAGACTAGAAGCAGACTTAAAATTGTAATCTTACATTTATGTTCTTTGTTCTAGAAAACCACTGACTCCATAACAGTTTAAAACATTCACAAGGAAAAATGCCTCAAAATTAACATCAGGACCAGGATTGGCAAGTGCTTAAGGAACACAGTTAATTTGATCTCTTATAATATATTACAGACTTTCTAGGGGAAAGGGGAATAAAGGACCTAGCATGAAGAAAAAATTTGAAAAAAAATTTTGAATTTTGTTGAGTTCTCCACTTTATTTTAGTAGGCAGAAAACTGAAAATTGGAATTTGTTAGTAATAGTCAAGGGTATATACTGATAATACAATAAGAAAGAAAAAAGCAAGTTCCACTTCTTTTCCCTCAAATCCTCCAACCATGAACACAAGTAAGTATTACAATGTAACTTTTAGTAAAAGTTATGCTTTTGACTACTTTTCAAGGTGACGGTCATATATTCAGTGATTGAAAAATTAGAACCTCAAGGAAGTTTACATTTAATATGGAAACTGTTGACAGTGAAGAGATTGGTGTGCTCTATGACAACCTGATTTGTGGATAATTAGAATTTCATTCTGATCTCAGTATTATTGCAGAAATAGATGTTTATGTGACAATGTAATATTAGGATAAACATTGCACAGCCTTTTAATGTAAGCTTTGCTGAAATTATCTGTTATCATTTTCTAACACTTCATGTTTCCTTCAAAAGAAATAATGAAATATGGAATGATATAAATAGGTCAGAGATTTTAAAAGCATGACTGGACAATCTTCATTATATAATAAAGTTGTTAATTTTAGCTTTTTTTTTTTTAGTGTGCTATTTACATGACTTCTGCTGACTTTGTAAAATTACCCTGTCATACACTAAGCTCTGAAGGTACAAAATCCCTTCTTAATCATCTTTGCATCCCTACCCAGCACAGTGCCTAAAACATACCTGACACTCGAAAAAGAACTTGTAGGCTTGACTTGGAAACCTGATACCTGAGTAGCTGCCTATTAAATTCTAAGTAGTCAGCTGGTTTTTTGGCACTAAATCAAAGGGTAAATAAAGAGAAAACATTTGGATGGAAACTTAATCCTGAATGCCATACATAGATGCTATCAAAATTATAATTTGTCTATACTTATATACTTAAATTCCATTGAATTAAGTAACTGTATATATATATATTTCTTAAATATTTTACTTTTTAAGGATTTTTTTACTATGGCATATTTATGTATGCCACTCACTGTCCTTTTCTCCTCCTCCTTTTTTTCCCTATAGAACTTAATCCTATCTGAAATGATATTTTTTATATATGTGTTTTCTGGCTTATTTTCTATCTCAGGACTTTGTTATGTCCACCACTGCAACCCCACCACCAGTGAAAGAAGTGTACCTTTTAGGCCCTGAGTAAGATTAGGAAGAAAACACATCTGTACTGCAAGTAGTCATGTGAAAAACACCAGATGGAATAAATACTAATGAAAGAACTTTCTATCCTCCAAAACCAAAATGGATATAGAATTTGGGGAGATAGTTTCAAGTCAAAGAAATGTGATTCTACCTTTGAATTAAACAGTTCCTTTCTCCAAATATATGCCTGTAGTGGCTATGCATAGAACCGAAGCCTGACTATACCCCCAATCTTTACCTGAGGGTTTGCAGCCATTATTGTGTAATTCCCATCGTCATCTAGGGTGGAGGCTGTGGTGTGGAGAGAGCAGGTCCCATCAAGATCTCTTTGAATGGTGTAGTGATCATTCTTTGGAGAGATCTGCTTTCCATCTTTAAACCAATAGATCTGTGAAAGGAAACAGTGATGAAAAATTAAGGATGTGTGTAGTACCACTCTATCTGGGGGACTGGTAAATACTGTGTGGCCTGCAGAGCTGATCAGCATTTTCATGTTAAAATGTTAAACAGAACATCTGAATAGGAAATTGATTTTTGAGTGAAAAAAGTAGGCAACATACAGGTTTAATTCTATTTTAAGTTTTTAAAAAATTATATATTTATTTAAAAATATGCATATAAGTAGGTATTCATATATTAGTCCATATTTTTTAAATATTATTTATATGAAGGGATCTATATTGAACATGGACAGTAGTTAGTTCTGGAGTGGCTCTATAGGCATTTTTCTTTTCGGTTCTATTTTCACATGTACTGAATGAAATGTATTGAAGTAAAATGCGTTACTTGTAAAGCAAAGGTAAGAAGGTTGCTTTAGGGGATAACAGACCCCAGCCCAACCATTCCCCTGAATTGTGTTAGACAAAATGGCAGTGAGGAAGGAGCAACAGTTAGGGGTTGGTGGTGGCTGGAGCTCTACTTCTTTAATTCTGGACCAAGGAGCACATGCTCAGAGGCTGAAAGTTTGTCCTCTCTCCCCGCTATGTTAAAGAAAACACAGCAATATTTAAACTTACAATAATTTTCAATAATATTTTAACTTGGTTTGATAGAAAAGTAAATGTGAGGAATAAAGTAAAAATAAATCTGGACTAAGTAACACATTTTAAAATGGTCAAATAACCTCTTTCATAGGTCCTCCTACCTTCCCTCATCTTTAAATAAAACCACTGGTCCACGGATCCCTCATGATTTAGTGATTATTTTTGACAGCTGAGACATGGGGCCATAATGATGAATCACAGTGCCAGGGGCCCTCACATGACTGAGATGCTGAACTAATGCCTGCATCAACCCCCCTCCAGACTTTTCGGTTTGGGAACTAAACAAATCCCCTTTTCTAAAGCCGCAACAAGTTCTTTGTTGTCAGCGGTTTTTCCTGGCAACCTAAAGCATTCCTAATGTATTCCTAAGAGAAGAAACCTACTTTAGGAACCTTCAGTTTTTAAAATGAACTCCTTTGGGTGCCTCAGTGGGCAAGCGTCTGCCTTCCACTCAGATTATGATCTCAGAGTCCTGGGATCGAGCCCCCCAATCAGGCTCCCTGCTCAGCCTGGAGGCTCTCTCCCACTCCCCCTGCTGTGTTCCCTCTCAGCCCCTCTGTCAAATAAACAAATAAAATCTTTAAAAAAATAAAATGAACTTCTTCCTTAATGTAAATCCATATGCAAATTGAGACCACAACCGGCATTCAAATTCCACTCTATATGAAAGCCTCTGAATCTGAAAACCTCTTTGAAACTTGAATTTCTAAGAAGGGAATGGCTAGAAATAAGCGCATGAATAATTGGGATCTGACGGCTGAAAATTTTCCAACTCCTATTTTTCAATTAGCTCTAAATTTACAGACTGTATTATTAATCTCCAGAACCTAAGAATGGATCATCAACTAGACTCATAATCCTCAGTTCTAAAAATTAGAGTAAGCATGATACTTCATAATTATCATTCTCTTCTTGGTGGTTTTATGTTTTCTGATGGAACAAAGAAGCTGTGATTAGTATACAGTTTCTTCCTTTTGCATTCTTGCCACCATGCCAGTTCTTCAGACTTGTTTCTTCCCTTTAATCATACTTCTCACCTCCATTATACTTGGAATACAACTTTCCAATGAGAATTAACTAATAGTCCCAATAATTTTATCAAGCCTGCTAATGGAGAGGGAAGAGGAGGGTACAAGAGAAGAAAAGAGGGTGAATTAGAAATTCCTTTCAATCTTCTCATGTCCCCATATGGAACAAGCATGTCAGAAGCAGAATACATTTTTTTTTTTAAACATAAACCAAAAAAAAAAGGGATGTATTTTTTTTAAAAAACACGATGACTATCCCATACCTCTATAGGTATGGGATAGGCCTAATGTAATTTATATACCATGTGCAGAAGAAATGGTTCTTCAATAAACCAGGGAGGGAAGAAAAAGAACCACAGTGAGGACAAGAGGGAGGAAGGAGAAGAAGGAAGAAGTGAAAGAAGACAATCTAACAATAAAAATCCTTAAAAAATTAAGCCTCATAAAGCTGTGAAACATTTAAATTCCTACTAGAAAAGCAAAGTTATGTTAAACACAACAGCTCATCTTTCAGGTGAACATAGGGTTCTTTAAAACAAGAATTAGTGATCTTAGAACTTAATTAATGACCTTAAGCCTTGAGTAAGACTTAAAAATAACAAGGGATCTTTGTGAAGATTTTGGAAGCTTAATGTACAGTTTCTGGTTGAGTTTCATTCATAAGCTGCACACTTATTTTTAGTACATGAATTTGATATGTTTGTGAATACACAGCAATTATCCAAATTATGCCAGGAATAAAGTTTTTTTCTAATAACATTTTATTATAAAAGTCTCATCTTAGAAGGTAGATATGCATTTAAAATTTGAGACTATTTTCTTTACTCTTTCTCTCTGACACCACTGTTAAGCTTCTTAATTTCAGTGAGTGTATTTTTCATTTCTATATGCTTATTTTACGAATTTGCCTGGTCTTTGGTACTGTCCTGGTTTTTTCTTCATTAAAGTTTCTATTTCTTTCATTTATTTTTTATTTTTTAAAAACTTTTTATTTGAGAGAGAGAGAGAAAGAGAGAGAGAGCACGAACGGGATGAAGGGCAGAGAGAGAAGCAGACACCCTGCTGAACAGGGAGCCCCATGCCGGACTTGATTCCAGGACTCTGGGATCATGACCTGATCTGAAGGCAGACGCTTAACGACTGAGCCACCCAGGTGCCCCTTTGTTTCTTTTGCTATTGATTCTTTTTTCATTGTTTTTTATATAGTTTATAAGTTTTCACTGTGAATTTCTTCTTCCTCTTACCCTACAAAAGTTTGATATGCCCAGATTTGTGAGTGTTCTCTGGGGCAGTTTTTGCTTGCTTCTGCCAGAAACAAGGATTTTAATCATCCTGGACTAAATTTCACATTAATTTTGCAGCTTTTGGCTTCCTATCATGTGAAAGTGTGAATGTGGAGTTTCTCTTTCTCACTGGCACCTTTTTTCTTCTTTTCTCCCAAGTTATAGGGAAAAGTATAATTCTGTTTATTGCTTTCTGGACTAGTGAGCAGTTATTCTCGCCTCCCTTTAAAGACTGGGCAACTCTTTATCCAGCCGTTTCCATATGTCTGTAGGAAGAGGGCTCCCATCTAGGTCAGTGTAGTCCTCCTGAGTTTTCAGAAGTTCCTTTGAATATCATTTCTCAACAGTATTCCGGTCTCTAGCCCTTTGTAAATATAGGAAGCTTTGGTTTTGTAGCTTAAAGATCTGAAGTTTTTATAATCCATGGTAAGGACTGCTTCTCTGTATGGTACACAGCATGGGGTTCGTGTTCAAGCCTGGCAGCTCACCAGCTCCCTGACCTTGGACAAGTTAATTAAACCTCACTGAGCTCAGTTCAGTCACCTGCAAATTGGGAGTGACATTGATAACATCACATGAGTAAATGATGTAGGTGTATGAAAAGCTCCTTGTCGATTATTTAATTGTTATTCTCCTATTCTAGTCTTCAAACCCAAACTACCCTTCAACTCTTTTTGGTTTCTAATGCCTCCCGAGGAAGGCCCTGAACTTAACAGTACTTCAAACATTTTACATCATGGGTACTGAGAAAGGTAGTCTGTATCTCTTCCTTTTGTTATCCACTCTGTATTTTGGAAGCTAAACTTCCACAGAAAACAGGACTCTTAAAAAGCCATGTTTTCAGCTTACCTTTGGCTTTGGATTCCCAGTCACCCTGCATGTGAAAGTTACAGGCATTCCCTCAAAGATCTTGTAATGTTTCAGCTTCATCTCAAAGAATGGTGCCACTGCATTTTCCACAGATACGTCCCCATATTGAATGTCATCACCTGATTCATCCACAGGAGACCTTTCTAGCCTGTACTCGATCTCACTGATGAGTCTCTGTTCACAGCTGGAGACTTTGTATTCCTGTATCAGGCAGAAAAGTTCACGTTAGCAACCTCAGTCCCTTGTGGCCCCACGTGTCTCAGGAGTCTTATTCTCCTCTCCAATGAGGCACGCATAAGACAGTGATATTTTTACCAGAGACTTAAAAACGAGTCTGAGTCCAACTCAATTCCATATAAAACAAAAACATCTGGAAGTAAGTATATATGATATTTCAAATTGTCTTCAGGTCTTATCATCCTCCTCCCCACAAAAACTATGAAGATGAATTTTTCTCTTTTTTCTTGTGGGGTTGTGGAGAAAGAAAAAGGCAACAGCTCTGTGTTCCTAAACTGTTCATAGAAATAAAAACATGGTGGAACACTGATTTCTTTCTGTACGTGAAAGCTGTGCAGGGTGGCAGTGCATGTGGCTAGTGGCTGCAGGGTTACAGAGCATTTTATCAAGCAGATAATGGAAAAATGGCATTTTTTTTTCTTCACTCCTAACAATTCTCAGTCACATAGCCTCTGAACTCCTCCTTTGGCTTCGCAGCTAGTAGGAATTACTCTCTAGCCTCTTTGAAAGAAAAACAGAATTGACAGTTCAGTCAAAATTTTGATTAAAAAGGCAAAAGCAGAGTAGCCATCAACATCCCTTGGCAATTAAGGGGGGTCCTACAGTTCTCTTGCTTATAAAGCACAATGAAAACAAGGCAGCTCATTGCAAAATACTCTCTTTAGCTAGGTTTCCTCATAAAAAAGCTGCCTCACCTTTAAAAAACTATTGTCTTGAGGGAAGAAATACAACAATATAAATAAAACTGCAAAAAATATAGGAGTTTTTTGTTTTAATTACTATCAAATTAATCAGTTTAAGAATTAGCATATTTTCCCCCCAGAAAGGTATAACAAATGAGAAGCTTTTAATGATTTACAGTTCAGAGTATTCACTAGTGACAGAATCAAATTCAAGTTTGTAATATATGACAAAAAGCACAGTAGTGCAGTAATTTTGTTCATCTGATATTAAATAAAAATAGACACTGGTCATACTATTTGTAATTAATATATGGCAGTAAAGACAGATACACAGGTAAGGAAGAACACAAGAAAACAGATACAGTGAAAGACCGGAAGGGGAAGAAAGATGAAAGCTTAACCTTTTGACCATCCAGAGGACTCCCTACAGAAGCATGAGGAGACCCAATGTCCTGTAATGGTAGAAAAAAAGAAGTGAAGACTAATAACGGAAATAAAAATCTAGCAAGATTTCTAGTTTAAGAGATTTTTGTGGTAGCAATATTTAATGCAGGAAAGTCTTCAGAATTGAAGGCAGATCTATTTTTCAACATCTATGAGAGTTTACTTGATCCTTTAAACTTGTTTTAAAATGCCTTCTTTAATCTTGAGACTACATCTGGAAACCAAGCAGAGGCAGTGGAGATTATAAAACAGGTTACATCAAATTGATGAAGGGATTTTTTCTTGAGTGTAGCCGGGGAACAAAAATAGTGATTCAGGTTTTCTGCTGATTAGTGATGTCTAACTGTATATGTAAGGGAAAATAAAGACATCATTTTTTCTATACACCTATTTTAATTTTGACTAGATGTTAAGAATATAATTGGAAATAATTCACTACCTGTTTCACACAGTTTCAGTAAAAATATGTTTCTCCCCAGAAACTGTTTTGCATTAAAACACAGGACAGGAAAAACAGAAAGATACTTGAAAGGAGAAAAAACTTGACCAATAAGAAGATAAAAGGGCAGGTATCCCTGACTGAAATAACTCTCACCAGTCACTTCACACACCTGTCTGGCACATGCTATGTGTTCAATAAATATCAGCTCTGAGAGTGATTGGTGATATTAATACTGCTTTTCTTTGACTTGCCCTCTAATGCTCACAGAACTGATCCCAAGAATAGTGTCCATAAAGAGGATGGGGAGAGGGGTGAGAATAATTATTATTTTTCTAATTAGTCCAGAGGAACTCAGTACCTGATTAGCTGCTTCCTCTTCTGGCTCCTGAATATTAAAAACAGTTGCACTGTCAGCACCTAGTAATCGACGAGCCATTCTCTCTTCATATGTTAACCTCTAAACAAAGCAAGTCACAGAAAATACAAAATTAGAAAATTCACAATTACATACTGCCTCATAAGGAATTTTAAAAAATGAGTTTTGGTGTTTTCTGTAACTATTTTCTCTCAACCTTCAGATACCTGTATATAAAAGGAGTCTGTTTCATTCAGTTGTTCAGTTGTTCTCTCACCTCCCTTTCCGGTCTTAGTGGCTTAATCCTGTGTTGGGAGGTGGGGTAACTACTCTCGAGAGCCACCAACTGATACAGCACAAATTTAAGGTGAATATAATAACCAAACAAAGCAGAAACCACAAAGAAAATACCTGTCAAATGCTAATCCTTAAGGATGCATATAGAGAAAAAAGATACTCAAATAGCAAAATATTTTTTAAAGGAAATGCTATTTTTATTGCCATCCCAACAATCTTCGAGACAGTGTATCTGCTCCAAGCCTCTGATAAGGGAAGTTTTAGACTAGCTGGCAGTGAGGGTCCCCTCTGTTTGGGATCCTCACCTCCCAGGCTGCTGTGTAGCAGGTGAATGTAGGCAAATATAATAGTCCCCAAAGAATGATTGCACATGGCTGAATCAGCAAAAGGACTGTGAAAGATACTTGCCAAAGCTAGTATCCATAATTCAAGATTCTGCTCGGAGGAAGACTGCTTGCCCATCAGGCAAACAAAGTGGTAATGTTTTTGCATCTAGCAGCCAGTACTCTAGATTTGGCCAAAATATATTTGCTGGGCCATTCTTACACAAAAGAAATGCCAACGTTTTTGTTCTGTCTGTTGGGCTGTTTCCTGCCTTTGAGTTTTGGTTCTAAAATGCCTTAGAATTACAGGTCTGAGAAGAACTTTCAGAGTTCTGTCCCATAAACAAGTGTTTGATTCAAAATAGAGAATAATTAGTAAGGCAGGATCTTAAAAAAATACAGAAGTTATTTCAGTAAAGTTCCAAACTTTTGAACATAGATGCAAATTCTATTGGAAACTCTCTAATCAGGAAAATATGTTGAATAAATTTACAATTTCCAGTAATTGCTGGTTCTAGTCCCAGCCGAAACCGGGAAGTGAAACAAGTCTATGCCAAATGACAAATAGTCCTGAAGGTCATATAATTTCATTTACTAAAGAAGGGGTGGAGGATAAGACAGGATAGAGGTATGTGTTTTGGTGCATGGACTGTCTCAGTCCAAGTATGTTATTATTTAATTTTCTCACATCGGTTAAAGAATCACTGAATTCGATTTTCAAAAAGAGTTTTAAATGCCTGCTCTCTTAAAAAGCCTTCTCCATGTTTTCATGGAGAACTGTATGAACATCAGAGGTAGGACTGGAGTAATTTCCACTCTTTTCCTTATAAGCAGAAGTACCAGTTTGATACCTAGTCCTCTGCCAGAATGCACCTGCTACCACTAAAAGCCAAATTTACTTCAATTTTGTTTCTAAACCACTAGGCCATGTGGATATCCAAGCCCTGTCTATGGAAGCCAAAAGTAAGAATAGAATAATATGCAGCACTAGGAAAAAGTTGTCCTTTTAAACTCTCAAATGTGGTAATCTATGGAACTCATTGTGAACGTCGTTCACTGCTAAACAGATAGATATACATATAATATACATAGTATAATATAACAGCTTATAGATGTCTTAAGTCTCTTTGAGCAAGAGATTCTTAGTCCATAAGGAATATTTAAACAGAGACCCAAAAAACTGGAGAAATGCCTTTACCTGGCTTGAGTAAGTTCCCATAAGTATTTGTTTTAATCTTTCAAAGGCTTTAGTTGACAGAGCCAGGGAAAACTTCCAGAGTATGCACATTTACACATGCAATTACTTGTTTCAGGGAGAAAATATTTTCCCTTTGTGAAAATCTTCTATTCTCAATGAAATGAATGACCAACACAAGATCTCATTAGAATTTTAATCTTCCTGAACTCAGATTAGGATGCCCTAATAATTAAAAGCAGCATTCAGCACCCTTCCTCTACCCTTCACCTTTCCAATCAAACAAGTTTGTTCTCACATTTTTATTTATCAATGTGTGAGAATTAAAATTCCTAGAAAACATACTTAACATAGAGAGCTTTCTACTCTGAAAAAGGTATCTGAGAGGGAGCTTTTCCACAAAGAGGCCTTTTTCTTCTTCTGCTTAAGAGCCGGACAAATTTTCTGGTGATAATTCCAAAATAAAGCCACACAAGGCTCCTTTCCTTCACCTGGAAAACCTTATTTACGAGACTTGTTCTTCCTGTCCCCTTAAAAATACTCAGATGTGATAAGAGGATGGGCCAGTAAAAAACAAGAAACAACTGATGAGGAAATACTGAAGTCCAATGGCAAAAACATCTTATATACATACATTGTTTACCAGATCTACTGTACAGATAGCAGAACAATACTGTGAAACAAGCGTTACTCTCTCAGATTACCAAATCAGTATCTAGTAATGGTCTACTAGAACAGTACTGGACTTCAGGGGTCATTTCCTCAGTAAAGACAGCCTTTGTGTAGAAGGCGTACATGTCAGAGAATCCACATTCTCCTTTTGGTAGATACAGATCATTCCAGAGCACACCTTCCCCCTCCTACCCAGCCCAGATTTGTTCCTGTTTCTTTGTAATGCTGCAGTTCCTCATTTGTTTTAGTACCCATCTTAAAATCAGCCCTTCCTCTTTATCTGCAACTTGCCAACTTCACTCCAAGAATGGTTTTCATGAATGGCAGGAGAGAGTGGGGGCCAAGTCGAGGGAAGCCTTTCCCCTTTCTCCCTTTTCCCCAGATTCAGGCCATAACACTAAGAAGAACATTGAGATTTAGAGTAAATGAAATCAATTTTGTGGCCAAACTGCAAGAACCAAAGTGAAGGACGAGCTCTCTGATGTGGGTAGCTACTATTCCAAGTTCAGGCCCCAAATCCATCTCTGCGTACCGGCTGGCCATTGTTCAGGAGGTCCTCCTTGAAGCGAAGTTTCCGTTCCAGGTCTTGAATGACAGCATCCTTTGTGCCTTGAATCTCCTCATCAGAAGCTATTCTAGCAGTTCTGTTGGCCTTCTTTGGAAATCCCCTGCAGGACAAAAGCACAAGGCACTAGGGTCACTTGTCAGGCACATGGGCATCCTGTGACCGAGGAGCACTCCGCTCTCATTAGTAATACCGGAGAGTCCTGAGGTCTGTGCTGCTCCTGTCCATTCCCCCGGTTCTTTGCTGAACTTCCCCTGATTTTGTGGGGGTTCACTCTCCAGTGTGCTTAGAGAAGGTGACCGCCTCCCCAAATTCAGGCGTGACTGACCTATGTCAAATGGTCACGGTCCTGTGGACAGTGGTTAGTGTGGCCAGAGGCAGGTGATGGAGCCTGGCCACTGAGACTGGGGAAATGGAAGTTGGAAAGGGTGAGGTGCTCTAGTGAAAAATGTCTCATCTCTAAAAAGCAACACGCAGGAAGAAGTGCCCCTCTTCTTTCACTGGCTCCCACAGTGTTAAAATGTGATGCCCCACACTGCTACATCCACACTGAGATCAAGGGGAGAACCTGCAACATGCTGATGATGACAGCTTGGAAAGACAAGAGACCCCGGAGCCCTGATTATGTTTTTGGGACCCAGGTGACCTACTGGTGGAGCCGCCTGACCCCACACTTGCTATGTAAATCAATAAACCAGGTGCATTTGATCTCCTGCTAGTTGAGTCTTCTCACATGAACTGCAGAAAATACCCTGATAGCTTTTCCAGGTTCCTCCTTTTCTAGTCATTTGCTTTGAAGTTCAAATGGAGGGTGTTAAACCCTGGTATTAAAGAAAATATTGTGATATCCTGTGTTTGAATATGAAAAACCAGGTCAGACTCTGTTGTATCGTACTGCCTGGAAGTTGATCTTGATTTTTAAGAGTTGGGTGGTGAAGCTGTGACACATGACCACTAAGAGCCATAGGAATCATGACTTACAACCTCAATTTTTGGAACCATACAATCCGTCAACAAAAATGTGCATTCTGTGTCTGCTTTCCTGAGCCTGGCGCCTCTGGCCCTTACTCTCTCAGGACAATGTCCTCAGCCTGCAGGTTTCAGTGTATTGTCCCCTTGGAAAGGAGGACGCTGGCCAAGTCTACCCATTAGTTATTGTACCGTGTTTGTTTTCTTCATAGCACTTATCAAACTTTATTAATATATGCTCTTTTTAATTGTTTCTTCGCACCCTGCCTCTGGTTAATCAAAATGCTTGTCAAATAGCAGACCTGAAAATAACGTTAATGGAGTAAGTGAACATATGTATAGCCATCTTCACTTCTTGTTCCCTCCCCCGCCAAAGATTTTATTTATTGGGGCACCTAGGTGGCTCAGTTGGTTGAACATCTGCCTCCAGCTCAGGTCATGATCCCAGAGACCCGGGATTGAGCCCCGCACTGGGCTCCCTGCTCCACGGGGAGTCTACTTCTCCCTCTGACCTCTCCCCTCTCATGCTCTCTCTCTCTCTCTCTCTCTCATTCTCTCTCTCAAATAGGTAAATAAAATATTTAGAGATTTTGGAGAAAGAGAGAGAGAGCAAAGGAGAGGGAAAGGGGCAGAGGAGAGGGAGAAGCAGACTCCCCGCTGAGCAGGGAGCCCGATGTAGGACTTGATCCGGGGAGTCCACAATCGTGACCTGAGCCGAAGGCAGTTGCTTAGCTGACTGAGCCACCCAGGCACACCTAAACAAAATCTTTAAGAAAAATATTTTATTTATTTATTCGAGGGTGGAAGAGGAGGGGTGGGAAGGGTGGAGGGGAGGGGCAGAGGGAGAAGCAGACTCCCTGCTGAGCAGGGAGCCCAACTCAGGGTGATTCTAGGACCCCGGCTGGGATCATGATCTGAGCCGAAGGCAGATGCTCAGCCGACTAAGCCACCTAGGCACCCCTCTATTTTCTCTTCTGACCTCTCTCTGCCTTCCCCTCTTAGGCAAGAAAAATTGCCCCAAAGCCATCTATAATCAAACCACATGTAAAAAGGCTCAGAACACATAAAAATTACACAGTTTTGGAAATAAAATTCTGTGCTGCATTTGACTAAAGCCTTAACCTCTGTGAACTTAGAAAAGGTGTATTCTGAAGTCACCTGAAATATAAAATGAAAGCCAGCTCTGTGTTATATATATTGGGAACACACGGGTTCCTATTCCTACTTTAAGCTTGACAACATAGACGAGTTGCACAGCTATGTGATAACGAGCAGCCATTGAGACAGAAGCTTCAGTGTCTCTGCAGGCAGGATACACTGAGAGCTGTGTTCTTTGCACAAATAAGAAAGAAAGGGCAAAGGGCGGCTCTCAAGGCCAGAACAGATCATCTAAACAACAGAAAGAGAGAACTGTTTTTTTAAAAGACAGCCACAAGTCCTCTTGAACAAGTAAACACCTGTCTATTCATGACAGAATAAGTCCCGTGGTTTAAAAAGCATTTCTCAGTATACTTGACTCTTTAGGGAACTTAAGAATGACTGCTCTGGGACAATTCATAGAGAAGCCATTCACCTTGGTTTGGGTTCCTGCCACCCAGCATTTTATTGTTTCAAAGAGTACAATTAAAATTACTCTTTGACCCTCAAAAAAACCCTGGTCATTCTATATTTCTTTTAACAAGGGGATTCCCCAAACACAGAAAGCTTACAAGCATTAGAGGAGCATTTACTCCATCTCTATTTCCTGCTAAAGACATTATTTTCTCTTACTCACAGAATTTAAGGTGTACATATTCTCTTCATTCTGAACAATTAACACTGAAATCAAATCAATCAATTGAAAGATTTTTAAATGTCTAACAGTCACTGCACAACTACTTACTGAGTATATACTAAGGTACAATGCTAGGCAAATACATCAATACAAATTCTGTTAAGCCTGTAACTGCATAGTTGGTTTGTAAGATAAGTGACTGTGTCACCTGATGACATCTTGGAATTCTGTGCAGTAGAAATTCTCTGCACAAAAGTGAAAAACAGTAATAAAACAAAAGTGTTATCACTATAGTCTAAAAAGCATTCTACACGACAAGGAGAAGATCAAATCCTACAGGGTGGTCTTTGACCTCGGAGGGGTTGAGAATCAAGTTGGAGAATAAATGAAGGAACAAACTATGTCTTAGTAATTCTAGGTGCAATGGGAGTTAAGAAAGTTGAAGAGAGTTCTGGCTAGCATGACTGCAGAAGACTCTATGAAAGAGGGAATCCTGAAAGATGACCAGGATGCAGATGAGTAGAGATAGGGAGAGAAGGAATTCAGACTCCGCAGGAATAAAGGTGTAGAAGGGAGACTGTGTCTTGTTTTTTAGTGCCTCAAACACTGTGGTTTGGCTATTTACTAATGGCTACATGCCTCAGTTTCCTCCTCTGTAAAGTGTAAAACATAGGTATTAAGAACATATATCTCATAGGATTAGTAGGAAAATGACACTAGCTAATTACATATTAAGCACTTGGATCAGTGCCTGGCAAACGAAGGGTGGCTCTGGAGAGGCCAATGGAAACTGCCCAGTATGGAAGTCGGTCAGGGAGACGAAACTGGCTGAGGGGAACAGAATGAAAAAGGGAAAGGAGTTTAAAAAGATACCAAGAACTCTTGACTGGTTTCCGAAAATGTGCAAATAACCTTTATTGATTGGCTTCTCATGTTCAACTCTGTTCTAGGTGCTCAGAATACAATGTTGAACAAAACTAAGTGACTGTATTTAGAGAAATTATATTCTATTTCTGGCAGAGTCGGGAAGTAAAAGGGTGGAAGGAGGGACACAGCAGGAAGGTGTCGAGTGCTAGGAAGGGACGGAGTGTGAGTGGGTGACTGTATTACACAATGCAGTCAATCACAGGTCTGAGGAAGTGATGTTACGCTGAGGCCCAAGTGACAGTGTGAAGACCTAGAGGGACAGTGAGGTGGTGCAAAGGTCACAGGTCTGAATGGGCCTGGCAGGGTCACCAGGGCATTGTGAACCCTGAGAAAAGAGGTACCGGATACAGTACTTCTCAGCCTTATTTTAATATGGAACCTTTTCTTTTTTTCAGAGTATCTCATTTGGATTAACGTAATTCAGAAAACACTTCAAGCAACTGTGTTAAAACTGAGCACAGAGCTAAGAGTTAGTATATAATGTTCTAGTAGAAACCAAAGTGGAGTATTCTTTTGTGGTAGAGGCAACAGAAAAGAAAAATAGTTATAAGTTTTTGAGGCAAAGTTTTTGCAACTGAGTTTGTTTTCCTCTAAAACTAATTCTTTTTTGGAATTTAAAGTAAAATCGCTGTGGCTGGTTCTCCCAAATGGGACCACTTTTGATAAATGAAGAGCAACAACTCATTAGGAAATTTTAAAAATACTTGGTGACAAAGAGATAATCTTTCATGATGGCTTGTACAATTAAAAATAAAAATGCTTAAATGCTTACTCAAAGTAAACTGTTACTAAAACCAGAACTCTTCACAAAAACCCATACTCAGAAGCAGATCTTAACCAGTAAACAATTCATACAAGCCTACCACACTGAATATAAATACTTCAGTATATATACAGTTCAGCCCAACTCTGCAAAAAAATATTACTGATCTGTTTACTCTAGCTTCAAGAGTAAGTCACTTACCATTTTAAAATAATATTCATGTGGTTGGGGGGTAAAAACATCTTAAACATATACACACGCATATGGAAGGTAAAATCTTCCAGATGCAACCACCACCAAATCCTAAGAGGTTTTCTTTCTTTCTTTCTTTTTTTTTCTTAGCTACTGAATAATCTTGAAAGCATCCTGCCCTTGATACACTATTCTAGGTCAGTTCTGTCAGTGTATTCCAGAAACTCAGATCTCCAGAGTACAGCACTGATTTAAGAGGTAATGTACCTATCTAGCAGCCAAAGAACTTTTCTAATTACTGAAAGTCCTCTTACTCTCTTCTCATATTCACTGATCTCTAACAGTGACTAAAGTCCACAAAATTTCATAGTAAGCAGAATCATTAACATGCTGGCATTTAGGGATCCCTCATATTCAAGAATGTAATGTGTGAATTAATATATAAAAGAGCCCAAGATACACAAACTGAGTTTTTGTATATCAATTCTATTTTTTCTAACAATTTTATTATGAAACCAAAGCTGTTAGAGTACAAGTGGATAACCTGAGCTTATACCTGAAGGAAAATAGATGCCTTTGTAAATATATTAAGTTCTCCTCACGTTATCTTTTGGCTTCTCTAAAGAAAAAACTTACACATATGTGTGTACTCTACCACTACTTGGTACAGAGCCATCCAAGATGAGGATGTCTGATTCTGATCTGTGCCAGGGGCAGACATTTCAACAGAATCATCATCAGTCACAGCCGCCCATGAGATCTCATTTGCTAATTTGCCAGGAAATACTTGCCTGGGACTGGATGCAAGGTTCTGGGTGATCTTTGAAGATACTAGTGAACCCAGTAACAAGACCCTAGGGAAGCCCCCGACCCCTTCAGGCCTCTGCCTCTGATAGGGAATGACAAAGCCCCCCCCTTATCTCCTGCAAGATGGGAGAAAGACAGGAATAATGAGATAATGTCTGCAGAGTCCAATGCAGCTTTTGTCTTTCCTGTTAGTTACTATCTACTGTCTTGACTTGAGAAACTGCCTAAAGTACAAATAAATCTTTACCAACTTTTCCTTAAGACTTAGGGTTTTCTGTTTTGTTGGTTTGCAGCTGTTTTCTTTGATCAAGAAATAGCAGACATCAGATTTATCTGCGATCAACCTGGGCAACACACCCAGGCTAAGTCACATGACTCTGTCTTTGCTCAGGCTTATTCCAGAACCCTGGGAAATCCCTTCACCTCTTGGCACTCTCACCTTGAATGCACAGCGATGACAGTGTCCCCACCTACCTGTTTCTTATAAATCGGGGAGAAAGAGTGGGACAATGAGATCATGTAAAGAGCTGAATGCCTACAGAGTACAAGCTCTCACGAAAACATCCATATAAAAGCTCTTATTAACACATGCTTTTCCTTTTGACAAACATGGGATAACATTTCAAACCAAAGGCCTACTTATACAAGAGAGACAATTAAGAGTATGAAACATTATAGCACTGTGGCTTTGTGGCACTCCCTTATGAGAACAGATTCGAAGAATGTGAAGGTGGACAAAAACTACAGTGCCAGCCAGTGCCAGTCTGGTTTTCAGAGAAAGCTCTGATCTGATTCACCTGGAGACTTGGTACCACTGCTCAGAGACCATCAGAGACACAACTACTGTGTTCTTCCTAGGGAGCATTCCCAAATCCTCCGGATTCCCACCACCTCATAGGAGATTTACCGTGTAAAGGAACAGGGTGACAGCAGTGGAAGCTGTAAACCTAACTATCAGCCATTGTGAGGGCAGAAGGATACATGAATTTTATCAACTTGTAAACAGGCTTCTTTCTAAGGCATGTTTTCTCCTCACTGCCCCCAACTGAAAGATTCAGTCAAGTTCACATTTGTGTCTGTCAAAAGCTTTAAGAAGCCGCTAGTGACCCCGGTCACCTTGGGGAAGAATGCAGCTGTCTGAAGAAAGGCACTGGAGGAACTGGATGGGCAGAAGTTCCCCAAACTGCCATCAACCAACAACCAAATAGTGTTGCTGTGAGTCTGAGTACAGCTCACTATCAGTGGCCTTCTTGACCTTGTGGTGGATCCCTGGCATCCATGGCCTCTGTTCCCTGTCCGACCTCTGCTACCCAGACATAGGAGAAATAGAACCTTATCTTTGTGGACTATTTAAAACCTTAGTGCATGACCAGCCTACCCTTTTCCGGATTAAAATGAGGACAATGCTAAATATACAAACAGAACAAAAGAACTAGTATGCCACTGATTAAGAAAACTGAGGTAACTGACATTTATATTTAAGATTTTGATAAAACAAGGCAAGCAAAAACACTGTATTTCTACTTATAAATCATGTAATCAGTCTGTTTACAGGCACTTGGCAAATATGACAAAACAACCAGAGAAATTACATATATAAGTGGAACTGAATTTGCTATCATAATCACAAATTCACAGTGAAATATAAATGAGGGTAAAAGATTCATTTGGCAACTGTTTGCCAGTTCCTACAAGTTCAAGGATGCCATCATTTGTAGTCGTGGCGTCCCTAACAGGGACATTCAATCTTTGGCAAATCATGTGGATTATTATGATGGAAAAAATAGCCATCCTTTCATTTTTAATTCAGAATGCAAATGAGGGATCCCATAATATACCAGAGGAGAAACTTGTTCCAAAAGTCACATGTATCAAACCGGAAGAGTGAATTCTTCAAGTATGTGTTATTTAGCAAAAGGAAAATTCTTGGAGACAAAAGGGTAACCATATAATAGTGGTTACTGGACTGGCATAGAGATAAAAATCTGTAGTCTGTATTGCCATTTATCTTTGGTGCCACAGTGTCTAACTTTGGGTACAGTTTTCCATAGATATCCGCAAAGCTAGCATGACTTCTCCATTACTTTTTTAAGAAATGGCAGGAGGTACCAGATTCTTTAGCGGTAACACTCATAAAAATGTTTTACTCCATAAAATTAATAACTATGATAGATAAGAGAAAATATTTCTTTTACTTGAGTTAAACTCTTAGAACTGCATATATTCTTAAGAGAATTTCAAAGATCAGAAAATATTACTGTTTCTACTTAAGATGATAAAAAGGTATGACAACCCAATACCTTTGACAGTCTAGTCTTTGTTCAGGAGGAGAGATATTACACAGATAAGTGTTTTTCTTCCTGGTAAACAAGATTTGGTACCATTTCCTAGTAAGAGGGACAAAACAGTGTCAAGCAACAAACTTCCACTTTTTCAATCTAACAGTTAGCTTCTTTGTGGCAAGAGAATACTTCATTTCCTAGCAGCCAAATAAAAGAAAACCAAGAAGAGGGGAGAAAAACATTTCTCAGACAAGTTGACTCAACTTTCAGTAGAAGCCCATTATCACAATATTACTATACAAACTCTTCTCCTTTATTCTACTTATATATTCATTTGAGCTTTTTCTAGTAAAGATTTGAGAAGAAGCCAGATTCAAATATAGAATTCATGTAATCAACATTTAGAAAGCAGTTATGAAACGAGAGATTGCTAACAGAAGCTCCTCCATACATCTTGCCAAAGGCAAACATGGCAATGCTCATGTCTAACGTGTTAGTACATCCCCAAATGGGCAATTTTTCATAGAATGAAAAGTACCTAAATTCTAAGGTCTTTTCATTTTTTTCTCCAGGAGAATTTCCTTCTTTCCTCCCTGAACAATATTTGGATTCTAGGAGACTCTGAAGTAGGATTTCAGAGTTTATTTCAGAGATGTAGGAATTAGCTTGACCTTTGCTGAATGGTACTTGCTTTTGAGCTCTTCATAAAATGAGTATGTGCCAGTCATCAATAATATGGGCCAAACACCTGATAGATTTCTTTTGAAGGCTTTCATGTACTTTTGTAGATGTCATCTTATTTATCCTTGTAGATTTTCTATTTAAAGACTTCCAATGGCTGCCACATCATCACTGTGACACAAGGAAAGACAAGTACTTATTATCTGCAAACAGAAAAACTGAGACGGAGGATCCATGTAGTCTACATAGAGATTACGGTTAGTCAGGGGACAGAACTGGCACATCCTTTCTTCACTAGATCTCACACGTCCTCACCCGTATGGATGACACAAAGACATGTGTCTGTCTTCCTTCCCCTCAATTACTACATATATGTAAAGACTTACTTTTTAATTGTTAATGTAGATATTTTAAAAACATAAGGTGTATACTTAATAACCAAGCCTCTCCACAGTTATTAGAATCCTGATCTGAGGTACTAAGATACGTGGTTCGTTGGTAAGAGCATGGATTTGGAGTCAGGAATTCGGATCTCCGTTGAGAGGCTAATGTGACCCTGAGCAAATTCTTTCCGGGAATCCTCAGCTGTAAGTGAGCCAGCGATAGCTCTCAGGAGTGAATCAAATGAGGTAAGGAACGTGATTGCTTAGCACGATGCTCTACGTGGTAGCTAACGCCCCGCCATCAAAATTATCAAGAGCCCGGCGTAGATTTTGGGTAGTTTGTGAGGAAGAGTCTTCAGTTGTTGAACGCAGAAGAGAAAGTACTGATCTTGGTAACCGTAAAACAGCTAAGGAAGAACAGGTGGCAAAGCTGCGGTGATGAGAATCTAAACCCTGACGGAAGGAAACACGAGAAAACGGAGGAGCGCTACCCCTGGGTTGTGGATTAGTGGGAGCACTGGGGTAGGGGTGTGTGGGGCGGGCAAGCGGGTGGGGAGGCAGAGGGGGTGCGGCTGTCACTCACGCGGGGGTGACGCCCTTGGGCAGGCCTAGGGCGTTGACGGCCACCGGGGGCGGCTGCGAGGGCAGCAGGGCGCTGAGGAAGGCCGCGGGCGTCTGGCTGTGGCCAAAGCGGGCCGTGGGCGAGGTGCACAGGGCGGCCGGGGCCGCGCTGGGGAGCGGTGGTGGTGGCGGCGGCAGCGGGAACACGTCAGGCACCGGGAAGGCCGTCGTGGGGCTGAAGACCGGAGGCGGGGGCGGCGGGGGCGACGGCGAGGACTGGCACCACGGAGCCTCGGCCTCAGCGGCGCCGAAGGACTGCGCGAAGGACGGCGCGGGCGCGCGGCCGAACTGCTTCAGGGTCGGGGACATGGGCGACGGGAGGCTGGAGGAGCTGGGACTGGAGGCCGGCGTGCCATGGCCCGACGCGGGGCCGAGGTTCTGTGCTGCGATGAACTGCTTCGGGCGCGCGTAGTTGAAGGAGCCGGACGACTGCATGGCGGGCGCGGAGCGGGGGGCGAGCGCACTCATGGGCTCCGGGCAGGCGGGCGACGCGCAGGCCGCGAGCTCGGGGAAGGCGGGCGGCGGCGGGAAGGGCGGCGAGGGGGGCGCGCTGCGCGGGGCGCCGGCGGGCTGGGGGTGCCGCGTGCCGGCCTCCTGCTCCAGTCGGATTTGGTTCTGGAGTTGCTGGATTTTCAGAGGGTCCCTGGGCGGGGAGAGAGAGAAAAGCGACACCTTCAGAGAGGAAACTAGAAGGAATGCTCACAGGGGGCCGTGAGGTGAACCTGTGGACGGAATCTCCGACGTTCGCCACCTCCAGACTATTCCCCGCTCCGAATGACGCACAAGTCATTTAGCCTGAAGTGTGTTCCCCGTTAGGAATTCCGGACAAAACGCTAAGCAAATTAAGTATAATCGGTTATCTCAAGGTCTAATTTAAGCCCTACCTAAGATGACCCAAAATCAGTTTACAAAATCCGCTGATGGAAATTTTGTCTGACTTCCAGGAGCCATATTTCATTTTAACAGAACCAGAAATATGAAGAGAAAAACTTTTGACATGAGTTCTCAGTCCTTTCATTTGTGGTCAAATTTTTGGAAGAGAATTCTATCATAAGGAGAAAGTTAAAAGAAAAGACAAGTTATTTTTGGAACATCTAGGTTAGTCCAATTTGCCTACTTTAGTGCTGTCAACTCTGCATTCAGTAAATATCACAGAGTGATTTAGGGGAGAATAATTTCTGCATTTGTTGCCTATAAAAATGTATGTAGAATTTACTGTCACCAAAATTTTAGTAGTAAACCCTGAAGTGCCATTTATAGAAACCTCAATACATACTGATATTTTGCGCCATGTCTAAAATACACAAATGACACATATCTTTAATATGTAAGTGTTCAATAAGCAATACCAAATTATCTTATAATAATAACAATGCAGTTTTAATTCCCCAATTACTTTCCACCAAGAAGAGATAGTTTGAATTTTAATTTTTACAAAAGTTAGTAAGCAGCTAGCAAGTAGCTAAAGTCTAACTCTATTTTACTCTGTCAAGCTTTCCAGGTTAGCTGAATTTTACATCCAAGATGATTTTCCTTTATTCAGTGACCAATGGCTGTCAAAAGAAACTTCAACAGAAGGTGGCACTATAGCAAGCAGCTAGAACAGCCATGAATAGGCAAAGCCATATTCCTAACTTTAAGCCTTTTAAAACTAAAAAACAAAACCCCCCCAAATCTCCTTATCCATAGTATTTAATTTTCAAAATCAAACTTTTAGAAACAAAGCAATGGAAGGAATTGAAGATGCTGATCAAAGTAAAAAAATAAAAAATAAATTAAGACACAGCTCTCTTAGCAAAGTATCATTAGATATAGGAACATCTTGTCTTCCATCTCCTTCTATAATTATCCAGTGAAGTAATTGGACTTAAATCCACAAAAAGAACAAGAAATGCTTTCATGGGAACTGAAAAGTATAAATTAGATGGTTCTATTATGTATATAAAGTATATAGATGGCTCTGTATGCTTAATCTGTGCAGAGCATCAAAGATTTCAACAACAAAGAACTTTGTGGGGTCAGCCCTATGGAACTCAATTGGAGCCTTCTAAAAGCAGCCATGCCACTGCTAGGATTCACCAGATGCTGAAGTACCAGATGTCAGTGCGGTTTGGGTACACTGTCCAGCACATGTGCTCCTGCATTCATGTATTTAGAACTGGCCCAGGAATAGAACTCATAAAAACCACCCAATAGCTCTAAAACCCATCATCTTGCACTCTCACCCTGTATCCCCGAATGCTCCTTTCTGATCTTCCTGCCTGTTCTATCACCTTATTTCCTACCTATACATCCTAGTCCTCAAATGTTCCTCATGAACATCAGGGAACCTGTGTACCTGGGTTGGGAGTCGTCTGGGTAGCCCTCGTCAGAGACACTGCTCCTGTGCTCTGGCCAGCTGGGCTCACCATGGCCTCAGCTGTGTTGTAAGGTGTTTTGAGCTTGGCCTGGCGTCAGCAAAGAGCTGTGTTTAGTGGCTCTGGCAAGGCTGCTACAGACTCACATCGTTCCCTATATGTGGTGTGAGGACTCCTCTCCACCAAGATTAGGGAGTGGCTCCTGAGAAGACAGTCTTCAAAGAAGCCAGGGCAGGCAAGCCCAGACCACCACTATATTCTAACTCTCCGAGGGTCAAGCCTACTCATCCGGCCATTAAGAACCACGACCAAGTTTGTTAACCTCTGAGGGCTTAAAGCTGCTGAGATGCTACTTTTCATAATAAGTGACAGTTCAAGAAAGTCTTAATGTAGCATTTCACAAGAAATGAACAGGTATTCTAGTGATTTGGTTACTAGTAGATATTGTAGTGAAGAACTTTGCTAGGATTTTACTCCCCCATTTTGCACTGGGCGAAGAATGAAATATGCAGAGAACTGGAGAGTGGGAAGGGAGAGTAAAACGGTTATTCTGAATCATGAAGTATCTGGCTTGATTTCTGGCAAATCATAATATTTTAAAGAATACTTGAGTTAAATGGATCTGACACCTGGATTCTGAGATGATGAAATGCACAATTCTAAGTCATTTTCTCTGTCCTAATTAAGTTATTTTTATAAACTTTGATTTTCACAGAGATAAAGAGGCAAAGGGAATGAAAGGTACCAGAAAAAGCCTTTGGAAATTACTTAAATGTTATAAAAATTCATCACTTTTCGGGTCTCCCCATTTTTTCCAGCTGTCTTTTTTCTGAAAATGAAACTGCATTGAACCTCTTGGAAGTACTATGTCAAGGCTGAAAAGTTAAGAGATCTGGACAGCTCTAGTCACAAGGAGAATTTGACCGGTGTATTAAAAGTCTCTCATTCTGCACAACTACTCCATCAACCACCTGCCTCCCCCCAGCCCTTTTCCCTCCTTCTACCACAACCCCAATCCAAAAGTCTAAGAAATTTCCTACTCCTACCCCTCCTTCAATTCAAAAGCCTTTGATATTTAAGGAAATGAGATGTCTGGACTTCTGTTATGCACCTGTCACAGCCCATTTACAAATGGGGAAACTTCAGGTAACATACTCAAGGTCACAGAGCATGTTACCTATGGAGCCAGGTTAGATCTATGTCTGTGTCTGGCTTCTTTAACCACACCAGGCATGTCAACATGGAAGAACCCCCACTTCCAATGTGATTTAAAAAAAAAAAAAAATCTGTGGTTATCTTTCCCTTCAAAGAACTTTCTCCACTCATGCCTCCAAACAGCCACAGCATGAGGGCCTTAAGGATCGGAATCATCAAAGTTTTAAACTCTTACACATGTAAGAATATGTTTAAGAATATCTGACTTCAAACTTGATTCTTCTTAGGGTAAAACAGTACAAAGATGAGCAAATCTTCGCAGCTCAGAAAGGGAATATGTAAATACTAACTCAGTGGATTCCCCTCTTGTGTTCCAGAAAATCAAGAACTTCCCTCTCCCACCCCAACGGTTTGGATACAGATTTTATCTAGAAGAGTTTTACAGACATTTGGACGGGGCAAAGATTTAGATCTGACAGGGATAAATAGAGATGCAGAACCCAGTTCACTTTCCAACTCTAATCTCTCTTGCCACTAGATTAAAGCAGCCTTGGGAAAATGTAACCAGCCAAGTACCTGTGTGGTACAGGAGAAAAAGGCTGGAGTCAAGTTTGATGGCACTGACTGGGAACCCAACTCCACCAGCTACTAACTGCGGGGTCACTGTGAGGATTCAGGGAGCACAGTGCCTGGTGCACAGCACTAGCTCAAGAAACATTACCTGGCAGGAGAGAACCACCACATCAGTTTGGGTTACTGTACAAAATGGACTCTAAATAAAAATGGAGATAATGTTCTACTTACTGCAAGGGGATTTTCCTTTTTATCTGTTCCCACCGCAAGTGGTGGTCCTTCTTGTACTCATAAAACCACAGCAAGGGCAGGAGATGAGAGACAGCACGAGTCATGCACTGGCACTGGACTGACTCATTTTCAGCAATCCTGGGAGGCTGGTATTTTCATCCTCATTTAAAAAATTCTCCATAGATTAGTGAAGTCAGGTAATTTGTCTAAGGGCAGAACCTGGATGTGAAGGGCTGGTTGGCTCGAAAGCCTTGCACTACTACATCATTCTCTCCAAAGTGCTCAATAACAAGAAAAAAAAAGGTTTATTAAAATGTTAGCTTATTATTACTACGTATCACTTTTTCTCTGGGGAACTGTAGCCCAAGCTCAAAATAAATCATGTGAAAGTAAACTTCTGGAAAACAACTTTTATGTAAATTGGAAATTCCCAGTTTGTCTCTCTGGAGCAATGTCTGGATTGTAAGAAGCAATTTATCCCCTGCTCGTATTAATAAAGATTGAGTATTTATAATTGTCTGGAGAAACTCTTGGGATCTTGAAGCTGGAAAACATTTGTGCTTTCAGAATAAATATGCTGTTGATTTATGTTTTCTTTCATTTTTTTTATTGTGTGATACAGAAGCCATTGTATGATGAAGAGGTGCAGGACTGCGCCCTCTGAACAGAGAGCTCTGCTGGTCCTGCTGTTTATAGGCACTTTGAAAGCAAAGACAATGACCTCTAGCATCCTCACAACACTAACCCGACGCCCTCAGAACACACAATCAAACGGCGCATTGGCAGATGCACACGGTCAGTGACAGAAACCCAGTTCATTTCTGGCTGCGATTTCTATACCTCAGTCCATCAGGTGCATTCGGGAGGGGAGGCCTACGATAGGAGGGCCCCATACTGGACTGGGGAATTGTAAGCATTTTCAAATGAAGGTAGGTAAGTGAGTTAGGGAATAAACTGGGTGTTCCCACAACACTGGCTGGGATTAGCTCAGTATCAGATGTATGAGAAAACTCAATATATTAACTCGGAACATATAAAATTGGATATAAAACTCCTCCAAGGCCTTCAGTTCAGGGAGTGCTGCAGTTCCAGCTACTTTATTATATTCGTACTTCAACTTCTTGTTCTTGCTTCTATTAGTCAGATTTTATGTCTTCGTATCACATAAACTAGGTACGCTTGGTGAGGGTCAATATCTAACAACTTGCTTTGTTTAGCACTAACTTATTCCTGCCCCCTTGGTGAAAGGTATATAAATTACAATCTTGAGAACAATCATTTACACAATAAAAATGAGTTAATATAAGCCAAATGAGGATGTACTACA